AAGAACAGCACAAGACTTTGATATGCCGGTGCACAAGATTCACCTTCAACTCAGATCATGGAGCCCAACTGAAGAAGAAATCTTTGTGAGTAAGCAAGAAGTGGTAAAACTGAGCGGTAGAAGAATTCAGCATTACAATGCAATCTGTTGCAGTGATGTTGATTTATCAAGATCGGCAACAAGGACCCAGCAGTTACTCATAGATCCCATCGCTGCTGTGAATGTTTGCTAGACATCTGATTCAAGCTTCCTAAATGCTCATTTGGTATGTGTCGATGTTGTGTCTCGACGATTTAGCTTGATCTCCGAGCATTGAAGTATTCACATGGAGCCTGCAGACCTACTTTCGGATCCATATTTTGATGTCGTTGTGCCTCATTCGCATCCCCTGATGTGGTGCCTTCGACTCACTTGTTGAAGGATTCTGTGTTTGAAGTCGAGGTTTAAGCAGATACGGTGTCGCCTGTTCTAAACCCATCTCGGCAGTGTTGATAACAAAACCTCTGCTCCATTCAATAGGTCGAGAGACCGGACTGCCCACTGTATTGTCAGATAATCTAGAGATAGGCCTGGTTGTGCAAGGTCATCTCACAGTCTACTAGAAAGCCCACATGATCAGGTCCACTTCGATTAGTTCTGGTCCCTTGAGTGGTACATCATCCAAAGTCGACAAATGTGTAGTTGATGCGGCGGCTGTATCGAGAGTCCAAGTAGAAGTAACCATAGTAGAAGCAGGTATCTGTGGCCAGATCACCAGCAAACCACAGAAGGACTGATGCGACGAGCAAGACAGATACAGTGTATGCCTTGATCATCAGCACCGTCACTGCTCTACAAGAATCGAGCTGGTTCCACACGTTTTCCTGTTGGGGTTTCATTGACTTGGAGGGGGAGTGATCATCACCGCAAGCTAATGCGAACGATCTCCGGCGAGCCAGACAGTGACTGAAAACTGAGCTGGCATGAGTAATTGAAGCTGTAAAGAGAGGTTCAATCCAAAAAGCATCGTTATCAAGGCTGGAGGACTTAAACTGGGCAGAATACATCGGATCTAAACACCCAATGAAACAGACAACTTCAACTCAGAAGCGGCGCTAGCTACATCAGGAATTCCGGAACTCCTAACCCAATACGAAGTCGCCGTCGACTTACATACACACACACACACACACAACAGCAGCTGCTTGTGGGTTGAAGTGTGTTTCAGGCTGGCAAGGCGTCTTCGGAGGTGATCAATCACACGAAGCTACGAGACAAGGTCTTGACGTGGTTTGTTGTAGTTGTAGTTTTAGCGTCAGCTCCTTCCACGGCCACAACAACAGCCGAACGTGTTTTTTTTGTCCTATTGTGAAGCCGGTGTATCAACAACATCGCAAGTTGTCTATCACAATTCGTTCGCAAAACGAGTTCAAATGAAGAGGATATCACTAGAAGATCTTGAGGTTTGCAGCATGAGCTTATCTGCGGCTCCACAAGTTGGTCGACTGCACAAGTTGGGTGGGGAGGGGAATTTCCATCTTCCAAGTGGGGGCTTCGCGTTCAGATCGCATGATGTCATGAGTTGTAGTCCAAGTGACCTGCATCTTGATTCGATGCACCACCTTCAAGTGCATCGTTTCAAACTTAGGGTTCCAACGAGTTCACGCCACCAAGGCGTTGGTGGGCCACCCCAGCAAGCCCCTCGCCAGGTCTTATTCTGTGCTTGTAGAATATTTCAATGTTCTATTCATGGATACTGTACACTGTATCATGCGATTGCATTGTAAAGGTCCAGAGAGGTCTTGAGCCATCGAAGACCCATGATTCTTCTACCTGTTATCGTTATAATAAGATGAATATCCATCAAGTTTGCGAACACCTCTTCTCGCTGAAAGGTATGAGAAACTGGTTTAAAGTTTTCACTTGGGGTTACATTACAATGTGGACTGTGCCTTAAAAACAAACTTGATTGCAATCAACATGAGGGATTGGATTCTAAACCTTGCAGTCAACACGAAGATATGATCTTGAAATGATCTCAGAGGTGACTCCAACTTGAAAGATGGTTCGGAAAAATGGATGGTTGTATTTTTTGCATACTTATCTTGATTATGTTGTGGCCATGTCAACCATGATTTCGGTGGATAAGAAATTAAAAGAATGGTATTTAAAATTTTAAAATACAACTCTTAAACCTTGTCCCATATGCTTTAGTTTAAAGCCCATGGATATTCTTTTGACTTCTCTACCAGTGAATAGAAACGACGCGGATTTGGCACTTAGTTGTCCTGGACTCAGTTTAAAGCGGCCTAAGTTATTATATTTCGTGAGTATTACGGCAGCGGTGAGACAGATTTCGAAGTGGTCTTGAAATATCCAGCTAATTTTTCGGGTTTAAATCAGAATATTTAAACGCATCAAACGCATGGGAGGCATCACTGCCCCAGATCTGCTCCGAACTAGTTGCAGCTCATCTGATTCTTCTTTGAAAGCAATGCCTGCTGGTGTCCAACTTGTAGTGGCTGTCGGCATTCACCAAATCCAACATTTGCACGAATCATGAGCAGAATCGTGGTCCTGACAGGCTACAATGCCATGCACCATTCAACAGTGCTCCATTTGTAGAAGGCCCACTTGAGAGACCCGGCAGGTCTGGATCCTGAAGTCAGTTGCTATGATCCTGAAGTCAAGTCCACTGTTGTTGATGACGTGTGCAGTTTAACGTGCGTCAGCAGTGTAGCAAGTTGCAAGCCCACTGCACAATAACATTTTTTTGCACTGCAGCTCGAAAATAGTGGTACCAAATTTTCCCCGATAGATTGGCCGGGTTTTGTAGGCTTGGCTGCGTACAACTCATCACCAGAACATTTCATGATTGAGCTGTGCATCATTTTCGCTAAGTGCTCCTTTCCATCGCTATTGACCACCAGGAGGTCCCACATCCTCTCTTCCCATACTATAAGTAGGATGGTATAACCCCATAAGGTGTCTGTGTTCGTTGCTGACTGTCTTCGGCACCAGTGGCCCAATGCCTATTAAATTCTTCTTGATGCTTGAACCCTGAAGCGATCCATCTGCATCTTCTCAATACTTACTGATCCTTTTCGGAGACAGAAATGATGCAATAGCTTTAGAGCAATCTTTTGACTTGTCATGGACTGCAATAATTGATATGGATTTTGAGCCGAGGAAAAGGAGACGGTGGAGTTATAGCTTTTAGCACCTTTGAAAGTTAATGTGCCGCAACATCTTTCACCATTTCTGAAGAATAACCAGACATGACTCATCATCCCAGACACAACCCAAATCGAGAAAAGACATGTGAACCACGTCCACAGATATATTGTTCTTGGGTTTCATTATTATTATTATTATTATTATTTATTTTCATTATTAGTTTTTTGTGATTCTTATTCCTACTTATAATGTGCTAACCTTCCCAATCTGATCCAAACCATATGCAGGGAGGTCCGCTCTGTTCACTAGATTTATGAACTCCAGCATGTGGTGTTTCTGTGTGCAGCTTCTCATTACTTAGGGATGGGCTAACCACCCCCATTCAACCATTCTAGCCTGGAGGGTTGTGGAGTTCCAAAACCAGAATACACCACACCTCGGTCTTCCAAACGGAATGTATTTTTGAGGCTGAAAAGCTGAAAATTGTCAGATACAAGAGTATTCCAAAGACTGATGGTGCATCTTGAGCGTCTGCATTCTGTTGCGACAGATTTGTACAGTGCGTCGGTTTTGCAGAACTCGATGTATGAAGAGAAGGGCACATTCAATGAACTCTGCAATAATTGCGCAAAAGATATACAACAGTAGGATGTACAGATTCGAAGTGTTGCCATGGGAGAAAACGACCTCTCAAACAATTGTGGCCTAGACTCTGTTCAATTCACATTCTCGGGGACTTAAGAAATCCGCTCACGGAATGATACAGCTGTGATTCGAGCGCAATGTCCGGTTGCATTTGCTACTAGGAGTTTTCTAAAAATCCAGTGTGACGAAAGCTCTCTCTCCATCTCCATCGTTCTCTGCAGGACGTTGGGTAGTCATGGAAGCTCTACAGAATGTCGGGGCCAAACACAACACTTTCATGATAAGATCATCCCACTAGAGTCACACAACAACACACCCGTGAGTTCGCATTTAAGAACATATCTGATCGGAGACTCGTAACAACCCCGTCAACAGACATCTCCCAGTACCGAAACGTAGACCTGACACAGCTTCGACGTAGAGCTAGATCATGCCGACTACTACAAGGCATCTGCACCGTATCATTCACAGTGTGGGGCATATTGACAGATCCTGGTTACAGTATCGAGCACAGTATCTATTACACGTAGTTTGTAGTAATAGAACATCGCAAGAGCATGTAAAAAAAATGCTTCAAGATCGATGCAGCCTTCTGGTTCAGCTTGGAAGATCCACCGCTGCTGTCGGGATTCATGCACCTCGATGTCGATCTTCGAAGATTTTCCAGCTGACAAAGCTCAGATAACGTCGATGTCGCCGAACGTTGGCAATTGCCAACGATAAGCTCATCGTCGTCGACCGCCGACGATATGCACAGCGCCGTTCTGATGCCTCCGTAAGATTTGAACTCACTGTGACAGGGTTCTACGATATTATGGACAGATAAAATGAGGATGGGTGCAAATATGATGGGGCGACTGTGGATGCAACATGTGATGGAAAGAGTATATGATTAAGACAATTGTGAAGGTTCTATATATTCGCCATTGTTATGGAAATTTCATGTGCAGCATTCAACTTCAGTACAAGTGGTTTCGAGGTAGGCACCAAGTAATTTTGACTAAGACTCCGAAGGCATAGCAGCCTTAACTTGATATTACCCAACGCTCTTTATCCTGTTTTGAACATTATCAATCCCAAATGCACAAAGAATGCAAATTTTTTGTCACCTACCTTCACCGAAACCATTCGTGGGTGAGCAAGGAACCTTGGAACTCAAGCAACTTCAAGTGATGAGGCACACACCAAGGCGGCAAGCATCCCATGAATCTAAAATATGTGAACGGTTTTTGTAGTGATACATGTGGTTACTGATTGTCACCAAGCACTTGGTTTTTTATGAAAAAGTGTCTATTAGATTCATGTGCTACAGTGAGGAGTGAAAGGCTGCTCTTTGGTATTGTTACATGACCCACTTTCTTACTCACTGGATGGACTCTTTCAAACACTCAAACTGCCGAACTACGTCCTGATTAATAACTGCTTTTCAGGTTCAATTTCTGTGTCGATAGCTCTTCCAAAGCTTAAGCACCACTGACTTGTCCGTAAGGCACAACTGTGACTAGAAGCAGGAACGTTGAACTTGCCAAAACTTGGGAAGAATGTACATGAGCAAAGGGGTCACAGTGTAGGACAGAACGGGGACGCGGCATATCAAGGAGGAATATTCTCTGCTTGGAGTGTGGAGCACACAGCATCCTGTACTAGAGGTGGTTGACCATTCAACAGCAGTTGTTGGGGAAGATCTACCCGAATTACATTATATCGGTACACCTGATAAAACCAAACACCCCATACCAACTTTTTCAGCATTCTCAATCGCTGAAAATGAACGAACATCAAAACAGTATAAGTCATACATTTACCAGTTAACAACAGATGCACGCTTGCACACAATCAAGGGACTTCAATTTTTCGGTCAGCAAAACCAAAGAGTACTCTTATCATTAGCCTCTAGTCTTTGAACTTATTTTTGAGCAAACCAAGGGAGGGATTTCAGTGCAGAAGAGGACCCACTTTGTCTTTCCATGTGACGTTGACTTCATGAAAAAATGGCTCCAGCAGGGTAATTGTAATACCCTCTTTGATCTGAGCAGGAAGAAGAGGAAACACGAGGCAAACATCACTTATGTTCAGCAACAGATTGGAAAGCTTCGTGAATTTGTCACTATCGACAGTGCCATATTTTACACTCCGAATCCTTTAAACGTGAAGCCATTAAACCGAATAACTCTTGGTAAACATGCAGGTACATGGGACGATAGTACAAGGTATGGGAGAATGTAAGAACAAGACAATAGAAGACATTTACCGCTCCATCACGCAATGCATACACCGAGAGGGCGAAACAGTTTGTCTCTCTATCAGCCAACAAATAAAACCTGCACGAGAATGAGCACCATTAATAGTGATGCCTCGGGCGATTTAAGAGAGCTTGAGAAGCATCAAAGCTTTGAACATCAAGAGGACTAAAAATAATTCCACGTCAATTTAGGCAAAATACAAACACATACAAGCTTAAACAGATGAAATCAAAACTAAGCCAAGTGAGCCATGTCGAAAAGTTGATTCAAGAGCACTGCAAAAGGTCATGAGCACTCCACTTTTCGTACTACACAAAAACATCACTGTAACCAACTTACAGCGGCACTGAGTTGTCGTGCGAGATTGCTTGGAGCATTTTAGCTTGCAGGGCCATGCCTTTGTTAAAACCTTCTTTTAACTGCTCTAATGAGACTTGTCTGTAAGCCCCAAGTGCTGGCAAGTCAAACAGATAAGAAATTCACAGTATCAAGTACTGTGCTTGAGAAAAGAGAGCAAGGACCTACCAACAACTTTCGAAATAAAACCTGCGCTGCCTACCGGAAAATCTTATCTATGCGTATGCATGGAAACAGTAAGAATAGAGAGAAGAAGAAGAGGAAGAAGAAAAAATATCTTCGGATGAGCGCCAACTGAAAATTGAAATAATATTGAACACGCTCTATTTCAAAATATTATGTGCTTTCTATGATGTGTAGCCTGAACAGAGGAAAAGAAATGACTCATCTGGAGATAGACAGATACAAAAGTGTACAGGGAGAACAATCTCACAAGCATTAGCAGAAAGCGACGACAAGATGATAGATAACCGCTTCGCTTTCAATCGGCCCTGGTCATAAGCACAAGGAACCTGAAGTTAGCTAGTATGCCAAAAGCTCTTCTGAGAAGTGCAATCATAAGATGTTAGCAAGATTCCGGTTTCCTACTGAAATTTTAAGCACGACAATCCAGCACAAATTACCAACGTCGATTTATCTATAAAGAAAGCTGACGGGTCAGATAGAACCAATCAGACAGGCTCCAAATAGTTCGGAATACAATTAGATTGCACACAGTAGTATCCTCAGGTACGCATCCAAAAACAACTGAAAATTAAGCTGTGGACCACAAATACCTTGTTTATTATCAGGTCCTCAAGTTTACTTAGCAGGTTGACTAACTTATTAAGTTCACGATCGGCATGAAGGCCCGGATCTCTAATACTAGCTGCCTCAAAGCCCCGCAATGCTCTTTCATAATCCTCCAGATATTGATGAACCTATCTCATGTGGCATTGCAACTCCAACAATATCAAATAATTTAACTAGAGAAAATCATAAGAGTAAGTAGACTAACTTTAGGACCTTAAACATGCCACCCGGAAAATTCAAAACAAGCAACAAGCTTACAGTTGCGCTGTTGAAGTGGAGATCGGGATTTGCACTAGCCATTTCGTCCTTTTCCTGCATAGAAATAATCACAGAAACGAAAATTGGTCCCAGTTGTTGTCAATTCAAGAAACTGGGCAGACTGCAAGTTAACCATGTATCGTTTACGTAGCTAATCACAGAGAAAACTATGTGCTTGCACGTTGAATACCATGAGGTGATCTTAAGCACGACGGAGAATATTTCTTGAAGTAAACTGTCTAAAGTTCCGAAATTTTAGAAAAGCAATTTGAAGAAAGAATAACAGGGTTCGAAACTAAATGAAAAAACAAGAATCACCCCACAGTCCCTCAACTCACATGATAAATATTGCATTGAAACTCAAAAACATTCTGTAAACACTTACAGCATTTTGATAGGCTTTTAGTGATTGATGCAGCTTGTTCCGGTCCCAAGCGCCCGATACAAAGAAGCTTGTCAAATACGCGTTTCCTAAGGTATCTGCAAAACTGCGCATGTCAGTCCAATACTGTATATTTTGTAACGATGTGAAACTTTATGCCTCGACATGAGTGAGATCTGCACAAGTCGCGTGCAAACGTAATCCAAATAATCAGAAAGTGGCTTGGAAGAAATCGTACACCAAGACTGGCCATCTTTGATATCAAGACTGACGGCCTGCTTCGCATGAAGAATGCTCTCTTCGACTGTCTCAGCTTCGTCTGCACTCCCTGCATCATTGGCGCCTTGGTCAATGGCTGACATTCCCATGCTTCTGATTCCAGGATATTCAAACATCTCCTAATCATCACAAGGCAACAAGAAGAAGATGGCAAACAGTCTACCTTTTCCAATTCGTCTCTCCAGCATTGAAAGCTGTTGGAGCGCCTTTTTATTTGGTCCCTACACCAATTGGAGGGGGGAAAGAGTTTCTTTAAACCGTTCTACTTATCTCCCTTGCAATCAACAACCTTGATAACAAAAATGCGAGACCTCAACTCGTTTCGAATCAGGACCTCGTCCAAGATAAAGAAAAACACCAGATTAAGTTCGGTCAGATACAAAAACTGCAAATCAAATGAAGTAAAGTGTGAGTAAAAGTGTTGTAAATAGTCAGCAGCGGTCCGTACAACCTCTGCCGACAATGTCCAAGTGCCATGGATTACGGCACTAGCATACGCAAGCATCGCAAGCATCTGTGACAAACTTATGCATTGAGAAGAATTTCTGTGAAAGACACCTTGCTGAGAGCTATATTGAAGCAGTTTTTGGCCTGTGTGAGGTCACCCTTCTTCCAGAAACAATTTCCCAAGCAACACCAAGCATCCACCATAGACGGGTCCAGCTTGACCTGATAACACCAATCTCAGATTTCAATGCACAGCTTTGTCCAGTCTTAACTAGGGGCCTCGTTATTGTATGAAATGTTTAAAAAAAAAAACTTCACGATTGCGTATTCCGAAGTATTAAATTTTCTTGAAAAGGAATGAGCAGAATAAGATACCGATTTCGAAAGATGTTCTTCAGCCTCTTTACAGTAGTCTGGTCCCACATCAAGGACTTTCCCTCTCAAATACTCCCACTGGGCGCGCCGTTGGGGATGCTTCCTGCAATCTACACGCACAAGTTTCCCGATTTTACACACCTCCTGACAGTTCCTACTCTTCAGAAACAGGTTGAAAATCCCACGGAAACACCAGTAGGCTCGTGTGCTTCACACTTTCTAAGAAAAATGGCAAGGCATGCGGTTTCAAAAGTTCCGGTGGTGCAAAGCTGATGCAAATAGAAGTAATCGCAGAGCCACGCTATACTTTAACTAGTTCAACCCTGCATTGTCAATCCAAAGAGACGGCCTATCCTTATTTCTGTAAAAGTCTGAGCTACGACAACACAAGTCTGCTGTAGCGACAATACAATCGATGGGATAGTATTCATGAACCCTAAAAACATCAGTACCCTAATGCCACCAAGAATGAGAGCAGCATTTGACCAGCGATCCGTATCAGGATTAGGGCTGCAAATATTGTGCCTCAAAAAACAAAACACGAAGAAAATTTAGCAAAACAGGTGTCATATCGAAAAAGAAACGCCCTCACAGTGAAGAACAGACAACTCATATTTCCGATGAAAGCGTGCACAAGAGTTACCCCAGAGCTAAGAGAGATACACCACATGGAAACAACACAAGCACAGATACACAATACAAACCTGATGAGATATCGTGGAGAACAACCAGCAAGTCTCGCATGAGATTATCCAGACGACCCTTTTTAATAGTGGGATCGAGTGGGAAGAACGTGTCGCGCACCAAGTACAAGCTGTCAATGCTCTGCAGCACCGTGTCCATGGGATCCTTGCATTCCACAGCCTCGGCAATCTTGTTGTCAACTCCCATTGGAACACCCGCACCACACCCTCCCTCCCCCCCCCCCCTCCCCCTCTTGTTCCTCCTCCTCTCACTCCCCCTTCCCCTCCCCCATAACCACCTAAACCAAAACCAAAACAAAAACAAAAAAACCGCAACCGAACCACGCAAAACGACGAAAAACGTAAGCAAACGAACACACTCCAACAATCGCAATACCAAAGGACAGAAAAAGCCTTGAAGACGAGCCACGAAGTCGAGAAAAAAGGGGCTCAAAACCCCGGCTCAGTTGGAGTCTCACTTCACTGCAAGGGCAGAGCAGCGAGAGACTGTTCTCATATCCTTCTCCTCCACAGCACACTTCTCTGTCGCACTTGGGACTTAAGTTCCCTGCTTGGTTGGCCGTGAGCTTCCCCGCAGTAGTATTCTACATCCCTTCCTTTTCCAGCTCGACGCTATTCCTACGGATTCGGGCCCGCGACCTCTCTCCGATGACTGTACCACTATTACTGTTCCCCTATTCAAGCAGATGTTGAGAGTGTTCAGATTAGCTTTGTGTTTGAGCATTTGAGTATAATTAAGCGAGTTGGAAAAGCGTAGAGAACGTAAAAAAAATTTAGTAGATGATCATTTTGAACAACTTGAGGTAGGAGTTTTGGGGCATGTGAAATTGAACAGTGAGGTCAAGGTTGTATGTGAGGAGAAACGAATTATTCGGAATCAGCCCAAGAATGAAATGGTATTCAACAACGTTCTGGTCAAACAAGGGAAAATAACAACTTAGAAGTGTAATACTCATAATAATCATAATCATAAAATGATAGATGTAAAAGATTTTTTTTTGTATACACAAGAAGAAGTTTCATGTCAATATGCAAGCTTCAAACAGCCAGCAACTTTAAATGAGACGCACAAGACTTAACCATGTTGTAACAAAATGTTTTCGAAGTAATGTAAGTTTTAATTGAGAACGACTGCCGAGCAATTAATGTAGGATAATGTGTTGGTATCTAAACAAAGATTACCAAATATTGATTACTGTATCTATATACATATATGTGTGTGTGTCTTACGTCTAATGTGTAAAGATAAAAGGTAGCATACAAAGAAGCACACTACAAATTTTGAATAGTAGATACTGTATTATCGAAAAGGAAACACCTTTGTTTCAATCAGTTTGTGTTGCTGTTGCATTCGAAAAAGCCAGATCAGGCACAAGATTGTGCTTCATCGTTGTCGAAGGCATTCCTACGCAGCCTTGTTCCAACGGTGCTGTATTCCTTTGCCTTGGAAGGAAGGTAAAGCTCAGTAAGGTGATGAGTTGTTCTCAGATTTCGCTGAAATGCACACAAGTGTTGGAATCGACGTCCTCTTTGATTGATCACTCTGCTACAGCAGCTGTAAACCATCTACAAGCCACTGAGTGTTTGGAGTTGATTGGGTCTGTTCAGAACAAACCAAGTAAGTTAGCTGTTTGAGTTGCATCTACAAGTGGTGGAGAAAATTTTGAGGGAAACAGAGTCTGTGTTGGATACGGCAACTCAGCATTGGACCTTCATATCTCGGTGATGAATGCCGGACTTCCATGTTGGAAAGTATCCTTCAAGAAGCAGAAGCTTTCGAATCAAAACACAAAAAATTGGATGCAGCGGCTGAGTTGTAGACAAGATTTATGTCGAGCCCGTCTCCAGTTCTCAGATCCGAAGCGATACAGAAGATAGTTATGTTCACTCTAATCCTGAGAAAGCTGCCGATTACGAGAAACAGTTGCCACCCTTGACAGGTGTGCCTGGTTTGGATGTGAAATCCTTGGAGAATGTGCAGAAATTGGTCACCTAATGTGATGAGAGGGCGTGCAGTTGAGGAGGCTGGGGAGAAGAAACTGGACAGCGTTGCGAGAATCAAACATAAGAAGAAGCGCAAGAGGAATCCTTTGCATACAAAAGGTTTAGGTTATGCAAACCCAGGACCTCCGCTGTGTCCTGAAAGATGACACCAAAGCTGAAGTTTAGCATTCTTCTTTCTTGAATTTGTAACTATCTTTCTTCATCATCATCTTCTTCTTACGTTTGTTCTTGTTTTGTTTTTGTTTGTGGGTGTGTTTTTTTTTGGTATCTCACAGCTATATTTGGTGACTTTTCCTTATCTGCGTTCTTCGAGGCTTATCTATCTTTTCTGTCTTCGTTTTGGAACCTCGCGTCCACCAGAGTTTGAATTGACCTTGTGTTTAATAACTTGCTTGCAGTGGGCATGGGTTGTAAATGTAAAGTTTAGACAGCGTAATCGAGATCAGTGGTGATTCTTCAAGTATCAGTCAATTGAGAAAATTGCGATGGACGCTACGAGGCGTCAGAACCTCTCAGTGTTATGGATGCAAAAGAGTAAAGAATTCTGGAAATCACTCAGCACAGTGAATTCTCAAGCCAAGTGCATGCCGGAGAACGGAGAACGACACACGGGCTTCAGTTTGTTAAACATATGCTTTTCATTGAACTTTGAGAATGCCTAGCATGAAGCGTTGGAGTGAACCAAGAACATGTAGACAAGATCTTCCATCAAATGCTTCACCATAACAGTTTACTTGAATGACGATGTATGTCCTATTCAAAATCGGCTGCAATCAAACAGTGCACCAAAATTCGGTCTAGAAACAGGAGATCACGCATCCAGCAGTTATTCGATTTCAATTCCACCAGCGGAGTAAAAGCGATGGCAACGGGGAGCTGTAAAACGGCATCATCGCCCGTGGCCTCTCAGGTTTTGAGACTGTCGTACTGCAGAGAACATGCGCTAGCACAACCTGCACTGCCGGAACAGGTCGGCATCGCGCACCTCAAAAAGTACCGAGTCTAAGCAAAATGACAGCTCCTCCCTCCCTGCAGGGCTAACCCTGGAGATCTTTGTCGTGAGACACCATCTCGTGAATGTGGACCATCTTTGACTCGATCTCTTCGACGGGGGGGCGAAGTATTGTTGTGTGTACGAGCAATGAAGTGATGTGTGTTTTATTTTTCAACAGGTGGGTTCATCGCCGTTTTATCATCCATATGCCTCCTCATCCTTGTCTCTTTCATCCGTCGAGTGGAATCAGAGCAAGCTGTACTGCAAGTCGAGGACGACGATGCTCAAGAGAAGCGAGAGTGATTCTCTTGAACCTTGGCGCCAATGTACAGGTCACCTTTGCCCGCCCTTAGTTAGTGCTGCTTCTGCTGTTGGAGCTGATAGATTGTTGAGTTGTGGTAGAACTCTTCGCAGAGAGAGTGAGGGAGTGAGAGTGAGAGAGAGAGGTTCGTTGTTTGGTAACATTAGGTTGAGTGTTCGGGGAGGGGAAGAGGAGTATATTTAATTTTATTAATTTTATTTTGGTGTAGGTTTATTTGCCGTGGAGGGGGGTGGAGCGTGTGTTTGGTAGGCGGAGACGAAATGGCGGCGATGTCGTACGAGGAGGCTCGGAAGCAACGGATGGATGAGAACAAGAGGAGGATGGAGGAGCTTGGCTTAGTGGATTTATCGAAGAACTTGAAGCAGTTGAAACCGAAGATTCCTGCAAAGAAGCCAGAGAAGCGGAAGATTGATTCGCAGGAAGCGCGACGATCGTCGCGAGTCGCGTCGAAGCCTGTGGTGAGTTATAAAGAGCAATTGGACAGGGTGCGTGGGATCCGTGAGACGAGAGTGAAGAAGAGCTCGTCGCGGCGAAAGCTGACAGAGTCTGCTCGCATGGCTACCATCGAGGCTGCGAACGAGGTTATCAAGGGCATCGAGTATCCTGCATTTGTAAAGCCCATGCAGCATTCTAATACTTCCAATAGCTTCTGGTTAGGAATCCCAGCCGACTTTTGCAAGGAGCGTATGCCACTGGCTGATGAGAAGTTCATTCTAGAGGACGAGAACGGAAAGGAGTGGGAGTGTTTGTATCTTGCTCACAAAGAAGGCATAACTGGTGGATGGCGTAAATTCCTGCTTGACAACGAATTGGAGGACGGGGATTGCTGCATTTTCGAGCTTAAGAGCCCGCTTCGATTTAAGGTCCATGTTTTAAAGTGGGATGAGGAAGATAATGATTTGGAAGAATTAGTTGGGAAGAAGTCAAGCAAGGCAGTGACCAAGAAGAAATCAGGAAAGCGCAAAGCTCGGAGGTTTGAAATTGAGGACGGAGAAGAAGATGAGGACGAAGAAGACGAAGAGGACGACGACGATGACGAAGAATTTGATAGTGATATTTGTGATGATGATAGTGATAGTCATGAGGATGATGAGGATAGTGAAGATGATTACTCCCCAAGGCTAACTGAGAAAGAGGTTGACACACTTGTAGCAGCTCCATCGCGAGTGTCCCGAGTGCCGAAGCGCAAGACTGCTGAAGAGGATGACGACGACAGCGAGGGTCATACAACGACTTGATATGAAATCCAATAAGCAGAGAATGAAGAAACTTGATGACATGAGTGATCTTGAAAGTGGAGAAGACGGAGAGAAAGAACACACGGATACATGAAATACCTGCTGTCGGTTCAAGAGGGATTTAGCAGGTTCACAAGGTCTATCTTCCGGTAAAGTGATGAGAAACTTCTTATCACGGTCTTTGCTACCTTCGCCAGCAATATGACGTATGAAGTGTTGGATAGGGTAGTCCAGGCAATACTGGAAGCTGAAAGAGCCATGAAGATAGAACGGCTATGGTATCCTCGAAGTCTTTCTCTGACGTATACCCTCGTATCCATCAGCTAGAAATCTTTCAAGAACACTCCCCTGAGACCTAGTCTTTACAATTTCTGGAGAACCAAGGGTTGGGAATGTGATAAGTTACGGTTCTGACCCATGTACAAAGGAACCCAACGGAGCGGACCATGTGGGAGGACATGGCTGTATATCTCTTAATAGTTTAGACCTTCTATCGTTTAACTTAAAATGAGAGCAGACGTTCTTGTGGACGAGTGGGACAGCTATCCTGGCTGTGATAATATGTTTCGGTGGTATAGGGCTTTGCCTTCATTGAATTTGAGAAGTTCATATAGACTTAATGGCACCACCAAGTGGTGCTAGGTGTATTTTCAGTTTTGTTTTCTCGTAATTATAAAGTTCGTACAACCTTTGAACTCGTTTAAGGGTTTTTGGTAGTATTGAACCCAGAATGTTTGCAGGCTCTTCAGTGCGACTTTGATGAAAACCATCTGTTAGGAGATTTGGTCGAGTGTTCAATTAGGTAGAATGCAACCCGCCACGTCTCTCCTACAATGTAAGCTTTTATCTTCGGTTTTGGGAGTGTTTTGGTAAGGGATCTTGTTTTAGGTATGAAGGAAAATATTTCGTTCTCTTTGTTCAGCGTTTTTATGGTTCCTGTTGTAAGCTCCTTGAGTTCGTTCGCAACTCACTCAAATGATACAGATGCAGTGTTCAACGAAAGATTTGGCTGCCTTACGATCAGTGGAGCTTTCGGCGCAGAAAAGCACAGATGATGAAGTACTGCTGGTCGTTCATTGAAGACTCTGGGAGATGCCATGATGCTGCAGTAATCTACAGATTGGATCGATATGATAATATGCCTCTTTGGGTGTCAATTGGTGATGAAAATGAGGTATGGTTGAATTTGTGGTGCGCTGTCAATAGCAAAGCATTACAAACGTTTTCCATGATCTCAATGGCTAAAACCCCTGCCGCATTATTTGTACTCATGATCTTTAGCACTTACCAAATTCAGTTGATTTAGCCTTTGTTTCAACAGCAAAATATTCTGGATACACATGCAAAACATGTCTCTTTGACGCAGGAACGATTGCTCGGTAACCTGGTTTAACGGAACTTCAATAACTTCTAATTCCGCACATAACTCCTGAAAAGGAACCAACCTCAAGTCATTTTGAGAAGTCTTTATCTACTCGGTATTCCTATTACGAATTTGTGTTTTTACACTATGATATTAAAGTCGTCACATTATTACTATCTATTGAAACATGCAAACTTAAAAAATATTTGAACAATTGCCATAGCACCTCTCACATTGGGTGTCTCCTGATCAGGTATGAAATTGTACACACTTCCGTTTATGAGTTTTTCTTTATTTTCTATCTATTCAAAACTCTGTGAGTAACTTACAATGAAAGATTTCAACTCTCGATAGGACACAAGTCATTTTAATACGGAGATGATGTACAAAAACCAAATGATGTAAAATAATTGTCAATGCAGCATTTTACATGAATGTACATTTAAGAGACAACAGATAAATGTTTAAGCCTTAATTATTATTTTTTTCAACGTAGGAAATATTTTAGATTGTTATGAACTATGAATTTTTGGGGAAAACATTATTGAAAATTTTATTTTTAATTATAAAGATTTAAAGTAACTCACTTGTATTAAAACTTGGAATATGTCTTATATTTTGAAACAATCATTTGTGCAACTTCATTGATTCTTTAACCCATTTTGATTTTCGCTCTCACTATCAAACATTTTATGTTATGTTTAGTTTTTTTTTACTTGTAACGTTTGTGATGTGTACATACGAAAATCTTATTTATTTGTTGAACATTATTACAGTATAAACAGCTGATGTTGTTCTATTGATTTAATGTACTCCTAGGTACTTATGGCTTTTATGCATTTTAGTGTCTTTTTTAGTGTCTTTTTTAATTAAATTTAGTTCAATTCCTTCATCATTAATAATACTGATTTTTTAAAATTTTAATGATTTGAATTCATATATTCTTGTTCTTTACAATTTATTAACAATTAACATTTCAGATTCAACATAAACTACTAATTATTAATTATTAATTAATTTAAAATCACTATCAAAAACCACTATAATAGTTTGTAAATATACAATGTAAACATACATGTAACAAGTTCTAACAAAAATAAACTCTTGTGGTGATAAAAAGCCTCTTTTATTGGTTAATAAATTATATGTGCTAAGAGAGAAGTATTAATGGAATTGAATTTGGTTATTGATGCATATAATTTGCCTGCACAGAAAGGAAGCTTTATTCAAGGTTTTTCCAAAGCAAGAAAATATATATATATATATATATATATATATTTATAATTTATAAGAGTTTCAAATGTGTAGCATATTGTTAATGTGGTTATTTAAATTCCACTTTTATATTTTAAATACTTCCGGATGTCACAAGCAATCACACATTTTTGCAAAATCGTTTTATTACGAAATTTACTTATTTATCCAAATTTTCAATTTTGATTAGATGGGTGGATGATTGACTATGTAGTTTCTTTACACAAGAAAATCAGATTGGCTCACAAATTATATTTTAATGATAAAATTATGTGCTTAAACAAATGAAATCATGTGGAGAAAATTACGTTCAAATAAAATTCCTCTGTTACTTGGGAATAATTAATACTTTCCTATATTTATTAAATCTCCCCCCAAAAAAACCCATCTATAAAACTATTATTAGTACGAATACAGGGGATCAAGTGGGGAGTCAATAAATGAACGAACGAATGAAAGTGAGCGACGACGAATGAGGATGTACGAGAAACAGACGAATGTACACAAAAGATGAGAGACGGACGAATGAAACTCAGAAAAACGAGCGATTAAAGAACTGTGGATGAATGAAAGTGCGGGCTTCGAGCGCATGGCATCGCGTGGGTTAGGGTTTTGAAGCTCGTCAAGTTTCTTCTTTTTCGTCTTCTTCGTCTTCTTCACAAACATAGTGCTTTGCGAACACTCGGGTCAGTACTTTTCCGGAGCTCAACCACTGTGTTGAGGGTTAAACCGATTCCAGAGTTGGTTGTTGTTGTGAAGGGGAGCGCGCAAGGCCGTCCGTCACAATGCCGGGCCCTAAAGCGAGGAGCAACACGGAGATGTACGTGGATACGAAGCGGAAAGACGACATCCGCCAGGCCAACATCGTGGCAGCCAAGGCCGTCGCCGATGCGGTGCGCACCAGTTTAGGGCCCCGAGGGATGGAAAAAATGTTGTCTACCTCCTCCGGGGACGTGATCATCACCAACGATGGCGCCACCATTCTTGACAAGGTGCGTGGCGGTTGGGATGCTGCTGCGTGGGGTTTAGGTCAGGGGTTTTAATGTTTGTTGAGTAATCAAGACAATTTCGGAGAACATCGCTTGTATTTTTATTTTTTCTGTCTGGCTCGGGGTGTTGTGTAGATGGAAGTTATTCAGCCTGCGGCCAAGATGCTGGTGGAGCTATCGAAATCGCAGGATATTGTTGCTGGGGACGGGACAACCACAGGTACTCGTGCATCGTTCTACTTGCCGATCAATCGTCTACGCCAGACGGAGGCTGTTCGATTGAATTGACTTTGTGTTCTGAGTGGTCTTCATTTTGGCTGATTCGTTGTTTTGTTTCTACTCCGCAGTTGTTGTGTTAGCTGGAGCGTTGTTGAAGGAGTGTTTAGGCCTTTTGGGTAAAGGCGTTCATCCTACCACGATCTCTGAGGCTCTTCACAAGGCGTCGGAGAAAGCCGTCGAGGTGATATGGATTACTTTGCTTCTCTCTCGAGCGATTTTGTTGTTTCCTTGTCTCACTCAGCTGTGGCATTCTTTATCAATCAAGATTGCATAACTTTGTCAAGATTGCAGAGTTGAGTGGTTTGGCAACAAACAAACTTAAACACCGTCTCGTACTTCAGGTCGTCAAATCTATGGCCATACCAGTGGAGCTCACTGATCAGGATCAACTTGTTAAAATCGCTAGCACTTCCCTAAACAGCAAGGTAATACGTCTGAATTGCCTACTACATTTTTGTATCATATATTTGAAGAAGCGTCTGTGGTATTGACTCGGGGATTGTAGTGGGATGAGTCGTTTTTCCGTGGACTTACAAGGTTTTTTACGCAGGTTGTGAGCCAATATTCTTCCCTGCTCGCCCCTTTGGCAGTCGATGCAGTGCTTAATGTCCGCGATCTTGATCGACCGGATAGCGTCGACCTTCGAGACATCAAAGTTTTGAGGAAGCTCGGTGGAACGGTGAGTTCAATTAGAAAATATGGGAATGTTAATCACTTGGTTAATACTAAAGTTTGCAGTTGGTTGGTTTTTAAAACCCTTTTCTTGTCAAGGTGTACGTGTGGTACGTACTTTTTGGTAGTTGATTTTCTCACGTTGAGATGTTGAATAGGTTGACGACACGGAATTGGTGAAAGGTCTCGTATTTGACCACAAAGCAAGTCATACAGCCGGTGGGCCAACACGCGTGGAGAACGCGAAGATTGGTTTGATCCAGTTTCAGATTTCGCCCCCTAAGACTGATATCGAACAGAGTGTTATCGTTTCTGATTACACCCAAGTTAGTCTCCTTGTTGCTGCTCGTCCATGTTGTCAGTAGGCATCTTGCTTTCAGCTAAATATTTGTTCAATGTAATATGATCAAAACACCCGGAACAGATTTGCGACGTTGATTTGACCATTGTAATCCCGAAGTATAATTTCAACTCTGACGTCTGGTTTGCCCATTTGCTCAGATGGACAGGATTTTAAAGGAGGAAAGGAATTACATCTTAGGAATGATTAAGAAAATTCGGGCAACAGGGTGCAATGTTTTATTGGTACAGAAGAGTATATTGCGGGACGCAGTCACAGATTTGTCATTACATTATCTTGCCAAGGCAAAGATTCTTGTGATCAAAGATGTGGAACGAGAGGACATTGAGTTTATTAGCAAGACACTGAACTGTCTCCCAATCGCAAATATTGAACATTTCCGTGCTGAAAAGCTTGGACACGCTAACTTGGTCGAGGAGGTGACTGTGGGAAACGGCCGGGTAACATCAAAAATTCTTCCCTAGTCTTGGTTTGTGTCGTATCGCACGCGTTTGATTGTCATGAAAATTGTCATTTTAGCAACGCGTGAACTTTTGCTGTGGACTTGTTCAGCTTGTATTATCGTGCGGGTGCTCACTCTTCTCCTTGGTCCCTTTCTTTGGCTTCTTCGTGTTGCCTCTGCATGGAAATGATCTACCACTTCGCAGAGTCGTACTCATTTGAGATTAATCTGTGAAGAGTGGCGTTATTGATGCAAGTAGTATTTGTGAGTGTAGATGCTGACCAACGTGATTGTATTTTACAGGTTGTAAAAGTGACTGGTATTAAAAACATGGGACGTACGGTCTCAATTATTGTTCGTGGTTCGAATGCTTTGGTACGTGAATCTTATTGTGAGCTCTTTCATGCTTAGAAATTACATTCCTGCACTTTTGAAAAATCTAGGACGTCTGGGGAGTGGTATGAGTGTTTAATGTAAAATGTGTTCACATCAGGTGCTTGATGAGGCAGCTCGGAGCTTGCACGATGCACTCTGTGTTATCAGGTGCCTCGTAAATCAGCGGTATCTTATTGCAGGTCGGTATATTTTTTTCATCATTAACATTGTGCTTCTTATTCTACTGCTTGTGATCGATTGTAAGCAAACGAATTGCACTTTGGTCACACACTACAGTGGCTTGCACTTCAAGTTCTCGTAGTCAATGCTGTCGTGTGCAGGTGGTGGTGCACCTGAGATCGAAGTTTCTAGGCAGTTGGGTATATGGTCTAGATCATTGCATGGCATGGAAAGTTACTGCGTGCGAGCGTTTGCCAACGCTATGGAGGTAATTCTCTTTTCGTGGATTCGCCTGTCTATTTTCTCTTTTTACAGGATTTGGGTTTACGATGTTCTCTGCGGTTTGACGGTAAAATCTCATGTTTTCTCCTTTTAGTTACTTCTGAATGTCTTCAGAAATCTTTACTGAGGTCGTTTTTCTGATAATTTGTTTTCATGACCCTCATTTATATGTGTTCACTTTATGGAGTTGTAGGTGATTCCCTTCACACTTGCGGAAAATGCTGGCCTGAACCCAATAACTATTGTCACAGAGCTACGTAACCGACATGCAAATGGCGAGGTATATTTGCTTAAAAAGCATACACCTTCCCTACAGTATCAGATGCTTTTCCTAGTGTGCTGATTTTTTTATTTCTTGAGGACAAATGCTGAACTGTTTTCATGATGACTGCAGGCTAATACAGGCATTAACGTGCGCAAGGGTCAAATTACTAATATCTTGGAAGAGAATGTGGTACAGCCACTACTTGTGAGCACCAGTGCACTGTCGTTAGCGACGGAATGTGTACGCATGATTCTGAAGATTGACGATATTGTGTCCACTCGGTAATTGTGTAAAGTCATCCTCGTCCATGGAGTGTTGTTGGTACTGTCTACCCAGAGAAGGAATGAATCCGGTGATAACCTCAGTCTGTACTACTCATGGTTGGGTTCCATGATCAATTTTGAATGTCCTTTTAAGGTTGAGTATGTGCTACAAGAGGATGTCTAGGGCTCAGGCAGCGAGAGCTAATCTCGGCCCATCATGTTATAGCCGGATATTTTTCTTCATAAATTGCAGCGTTATGAATCTGCTGAAGGTGTAGGCACAATTGTTGGATTGTCAAGACAGCCTATTAAGTGGTTTTTCTCAATCGATAAGATTTTCTCTGTGAAATATAACTGAATGTATTCCGAGGGCGTGTTGTGAGCATTTGTCTAGATGTAATGGATTTTAGTATCTAAATGGTGTGGAGAAAGTAAGAAATATTATGATTAGTAGCTTAAACATCTGGTTTGAATGATGTTTTGAAGAAGCAGATAGTAACTAAATTACAAACATTAAACAATAAAGTTTGTTATTGTAGATAAATGTGTTGTCATTCTTCAATAACTTTAAAAACATATATATTAATATATATATTTATAAAAACTAAACTAAGATTAAAAGAAATGTTTCTTATACATCCATTAACAGCAGAGGGAAGATTACAATTACCTCTAATTTAGTCAATAATCTACATAAGCGTTTTTGGTGTTGTGACCTTAAGTCTTTATACAATATGAAGGTATTCTTTCTGTTCATATCTTTTTGAACATTAGCAAATGATGTGATTCTTATACATATAGTTCATTAAGTGTTGATATTTCATTTGGTTAATAGTTTTGTGTCTACATATCAAATTTATTTTCTTAAATATTCTATCTATAACCTAAATTTATCCATTCATGTCAAGTCATGTCTTTAACAATAAATTGTGATGATTTGTTTTTCGACAATTTAGAAATTCACAATTTTTTTTTTTTTTTTTTTTTTTTTTGGCTTTTCTTTTAAAGATTAAATCTTAGTCAATAAAATCTTTTAGTTATGAAACACTCTAATAATAAAATAGCTAAATATATTACTAGGTCTTAAATGATTAATTGACTTATTAAAAGTTCATGTTTATTGGTGATGCTAAAATAATTTAAGACATTTGGTGCATTGCATAAACAAAGAAAAGAAAAGGAAAGATATATAAAAACCAATTTAAGGTTTTGCAAATGCACTTAATTTTTTTAGAATTTTATGATTAATATTTGTCAAAGACACAAATTTTGACATGACTTTGACAAAACAATACATGCTTCTATCACTAAAAGAAAGAAACAAAATAAAGAAGAAATAGTTTGTAAGACAAACAAGAGTGACTATAGCCAATTGCAAAGAAATTTGAGAATCTTGAACTAAGAGTGGAATACAAGAAAGATATTAAGACTAAAGATGACCTTAGTCTTGCCTTTCTCTACTACTGCTACTAAGGTCTTATAAAATCTTCCTAAGGAAAAAGAAACTTGGGCTCCAAGCATGTATTTTTAGATTGCTTCAATGTCACTTTATAAAAGTAGGATACTTATAGGACAAGTTTCAAGAACCACAACATATATATATATATATATATATATACGAGTCTAAATATTTGATCCATGTCAAGAAAGAAAGTGTCTGCAAAGTTTCTTCAAGAAGATATTATTTGTCTAATATGTTTCTACTTACTTCTACTAACTTCTATTTATTTCTATTTACTTGAATAATATAGTCATTTGTCTAAAAAATATTCCACATAAGAAAAAATAATCAATATTAAAAATCTTATTTATAATTTTTATTACAAAGTATATAAAAATAAAAAATCTAGGTCTTTATTACATACTCTCTCATTGTACTACTTTTGCAAAAAACTTTTAGATGAATTTTAATCACCCAATCAATTATTATTTACAAAAGAAAATCTAAAGCAATTTTTTTTGCCTTTTTTAAGCAATAGGCAAGTAGGCAAGAAATATAGAATTATATTATTTTTTTTATTAACAAATGTAGGCTTCAAGTATTGTACATATTTTTTATTGTGTAGAATGCTTAGGATAGTACCTACCATCTCAAAGTTTATAAATTTAATTCCAAATGGGGTCTAGTGACTTTTTAGCCATATATTTCTATTACATCATCTTCATTGTTTTAAAAAGGCATTCCATCAATATTTTCATTCTTAAAGTATGGACTACAAAATAAGATGAACATACTTAAAAATTTCAAACTAACCCTAACTCATTGTTTGAATAAAACATTATTCTTAATAATCCATTTGCTTTTATTTCCTATACCTTGCAATAAAATACTTAGGTACTAAATCTCAAATACTATCTAATTTGTTTCATAGATTGAAAAAACATAAAACTTTCCATTCCATCCTGAAAACTATGTGCGAATGATAAACAAATGACACAAAATAACACTTTCCAAAAGGTTTGATACTTGTTGATTTCGTTAAGATTATAATCACACTTTATAACATCCTACAAACTGCATCCTCATGAACTTATTGAAGAAGAAATGTTCGACACAAATCACAGTGCCTAGCATTCATTCACTGATTTTCCCAATTGCAATCATCTCTCCTTTGAGAGAAAAGGTTTAAATGAGACTCACACGGGTTTGAGATCATACTTACCATGTAAAACATATAAAACATACTTACCCTTTGAGAGAAAAGGTTTAAATGAGACTCATGTTGATCTGCACATCATAAAAGTTTAAAATTGTGTTTTTAATGCATGAGGAGCTCTTACACTGACCACGGTTATTACAAACTGAAGTCTATTCATCACCTCAGAAAGAAGTGGAGGCTGCAGGCTGGAACTGCCTCAAGTATTTTGTATCTACCCCTCCTCCACGTACGAGGGCTACTCGCCCTGTCCTTGCCACCTAGAACCATGAATAAAATGTCAGTTATTGCAGCAAACCCCTCCCTCAAACTGTAAACAACACATACGAGAGCTTCATGGTAGATTTGTTAAATATTGCCCGAAAAGCTGGAGTTTTGCTACTATGTTGAAAACACTCCAGCTTTTCGGGCAATATTTAAGAATCGTCTGAAACAAGACTAATGAATTTCGACTTAAACATCTGACAGAACATCACACGACAGGAAAGAAAAGAAAAAGCCATTTGCTAATATAGTAAATTAGTAGGCAGCAGGACTTGGAAATTAAAAGGACATTACAATACGGTGTTAGTTGTGCTTTCTCACCTCAAGGATGCCGAAAGGCTCCAATAACCGCTGTAACGCTGCCATCTTCTCAAGATCTCCTGTTAACTGAAATTTACAGCACCAAAGACGAGTGACACTATTAATGGTTGAACAACGCACGGTTGAAGAAAATAATTCATACGAAAAAAACGTTCAGTTTTTATTGGGTAAAATTAGGATAAGCAACGTTTTTGAGATGATGTTCCCAAGAAAACAACCTCAAGGGTTATGGTGCGGTTGGAGAGGTCGACAGGCTTGGCGCGAAAAATAGCAGCGACATCCAGGACCTCACGACGGACATCAGATGTAGCAGCAACCTTGATAAGCATTAGCTCTCTTTCTGAAAATGGCTGGTGCGTAATATCTTGTACCTGTTTGCACAAAGTAATAGTAGTCATGAAATAAAAAGATATAGCGGCTTACATAGTAGATACTGATCTTTGAACAGTTTATGTATGTACTTGTGAAATATCAGGATGTGTAATATGACGGGCACGAAGAGATCATCGGGTGGACATGATCACTCAGGATATATTTCAAATGTCGGGCTCACATCATTATAAATTATCTTACTATGAGCAATACTAAAAAGCCAAGCTACGATATCTAGTTCACAAAACAAACGAAAGTATTATCAGCTTGCATTCACTATATAATTAAGAATAACAAGATCAGGGTTTACTGACCGCAAGAACATCGATAAGTTTAGACAGTTGGCTGAGCAGTTTTTTTATAGATTCGTCGGTACCCGGGACCACCGTCAAAATCCGTGAGGTTCCAGGAGTCTCAGCTGGTCCAACTGCTAGGCTCTGTACAGAGAAAGGAAATTTCCAGGTGACAAGCCATCCTGGTGCAAATTACAAGCTTATCTCAAGGGGACTCATACTCCTAACTCTTTGCAACGGTTCCGCAAGCATGACTCACTACGCATTGTGAGTTCGCAATATTCCATATCTGGTTTTTATTTCTAAATTCATAGATTTGTATCCAGAAGTAAAACAAAATGATTGTGAGATGTATGGGAGGGGCCTGTGACCAGAAACTAAGGAACTAATACCCGTTAAGCCACAAGTACTCGAAGCTACAATTGCCTCTGACTGTAGAAAGAGAGGTAGTATCCACAAGCCTACCTGAATATTGTATCCTCGCCGCGCAAAAACTCCTGTTACTCTGTTCAGTACCCCCGGTGCATCGTTCACCAATATTCCAAGCGTGTGGGAGATAAAGCCGCTAGGCTGCCAATTACACGCACAAAACAGTCTGTCAATCCATCCCAATGAATATTGATTTCAGTGCAACATGCAAATTCATAAAATGTTCAACGAAGTCAATATATCTGACATGCATGAGTTGATCTCGAATCCACCACAGAGGGATTTGACGAAAATCAGAGTCGAATGCCATGTTCAATAAGCCAATATAGAAAATTTCATTCGTTCACTTCCTGAGCCGTGCGCGTTGTAGCCAAGTAGCCAGAACGTATACATTGTAATCTAACCACTTTGACATTTCCACAACCCAGTTGATACCAAGCATCATTTAAAAAATGGACTTGAGATGCACGTGGACTTACATCATCCTCTTCTACACCTCCCCAATGGGCATCCAATATTTGATGGTACCATACTCCATCATTATCTGGCTCCACTGCGTAAACATCACCCTAAAACAGCATTCGACTTTCGTGAGTTAGTGACCAGCATTACAGGACGTTCTGATACAGGATTAACACTAGACGAAATAGTACTAGTAGAAGTATGAAGAACCATGAAAGTAGATGGCACCTAACAGACAAAGATTAAATGTACGAATGTAAATTGGGGAAAATTCGGACTTCGTAATTGGTGCTAACAACTCAGTTAATATTGTGCAAAGTACTGCAAAATCCTCACGTCTGGAGCTGGATCATAGTTCTTAGGAGTAGGGAACAGGTCACTAATCGCGGCAGCCTGAGACGGTGAAACTTCATCTTCGTCATCTGATGAGTCCATCTTCGACACATCTTGGAGAGGACTGGTGTGAGTTCTTCCATAAGGCTTCTCTCGTCGCAATGCTATCTGCAAATGAACCGAGTTAGACACAAGCCTCTGATTAAGAATACGAATCTAAGAGAAAGTATAACATGAGTCAACAAAATCCATTGCAAAAGTTGACACTACGACATTGGCAAATAGAATCCAGTTTTCAGAAGTGAGTCCATTGAAACTTTTTTCTAAGTTGTGTGTTTTTGCTTTTGATAATGAAAGATATTTTATTAAAAATAAAAATCCTACAGTTGGTTACTAATCACAACCCGACGAAGTTCTAGCCTGTTTGATGAGATTTAAAACCTTCCTATTGGCAATTTAGCGCGTAACAAGTTAAGTGGTACAGAAAATATCACCTTGCCCGTGCGCGCCAACTCTTTGATTCCGAATTTTCCCATGGTGGCTTGCATAGCAGCTATCTTACCCGGATCACCTGTCACCTGCAAACCAACAAATGAAAAGATTTTAGTGTAGCAAAACAGGTAAGCGATATTAACTTGACCCAAGCTAGAACAATATTCAACCACTGTACAACCACCAGTTCTTAGGTCGACATAAACGCTGGGACATTCAGCAAGACTCTTCCAAGTGAAAAGTAGAGCTTGAGACAATGCACTGAAAGAACAGCTACCTCAATGGTAAGAGATTCCTCCGCCACATCCACAATTCGAGCTCGGAAAATCTCAACTAATCCAAGAACCTGTGGAGTGTACATAGTCAAACATGTTAAAAAGGAGAAGCGGACCACTGCAACTAATCACGCCGTCCGCTTACCTACCTCACTTCGAGATTCATGCTACAAAGCATGCAAGGCAGAGAGGAAGAGTGAGTTCCACATAAACTTGAATACCACCACATTAGTTGGATAAATCCTCAAACTATGAATGTTCTCCTAATGGAATGTAAAGGCTACAGAGGAAGGTCATACATACCTCAGCTCGTTGTGTAGGACCAACATTCACTTTCAAAAGCATTAACTCTCGCTCCACTCGTGGCTCCTTCGACAAATCAGCTACCTGCAAACGCAAAACCATATATCAATGAATAATCGAGGATCCCAGAAATATCAATACAGGATGGAAATGGCAATCGGTATAGTACATGAGAGGGATATGCGTGAGTAGCATCAGAGATTGATTGATATACTGATAGTTTCTGCTAAGTTCTACAGGGGAGGAGACAGTTCATACCTGTTTGACACTGACAAGCTTGGAAAGCTGTTTCATCACTTGTTGCAAGACACGATCAGTTCCAGAAACAACAATTGTAAACAGAGCTTTGTCTTTATTCAGGCCCACAGCCAAAGATTCAATGTTGTAACCACGTCGTGCAATAACTCCAGCAATTCTGTTGATCATTCCGCTCTCGTCCCCGACGAACACGGATATAGTGTATCTGCGTACCCTGTTGCAGCAAAACTATGAGAATCTTGGAGGATGTCTCGCCTAAAAAAGATTAAGCATCCCACAAACCCCGCATTGTGAGCCGTGGTTCCGTTGCACAACTACACTCAATAATTTATTTTTTTCAAAAATCAGTAGTAATTGGAGTGGACTAGGACCGAACTCGATGGACTTTTCCAGCACTCACATAGTAATTAACTACTAAGAATTCATATGTACGCCAAAATTCTAGCAAAACCTTCTGGAGTAGGTCCAATACTCTCTGCTAAAAGAGTGTACTGTGAGAGTTGCTATAAAAATCCTACAACAATTTCTCAAGAAATTAGTCGTCTCATTCCGCCAGACTAACTTATGAAAGTGCATTTTGGACTAAACTACGAATTAGACACTCTCGGTACCCGAAACTACGATCCTGCTTTCACTTGAATAATCAAACCCATACTAATCCTCTCAGAACCGCATAATGCTAGCCATCTACAAACCCCGCGAAAAAAATAAAATATCTCATCATTTAAAGTGTTCGTTCAATTTCCTTTTAGAGTCCGAAAACCCTAGGCGCTGCATTCTCTACTTACTCTAACAGCGAACTCACCTTGGGCCTCGCTCTTAAGGCAGAGGAGAAAAACAAAAAAATAAACAAAATCGAGCACACTACTAAGAAAGCTAAAACGCAGCAGAAGCGGCAGGGACAAGCACCCCACCATGGCGAGGAACTGATAGGTGCAGTGTCAGGAACTTTAGCAGGCGCCGCGGCCTCCTCAATCGCACACCTAACTTGATGAACTCCGCATCGTCTCCCCAACTCGGCATTCCTCGGAATTCGTTGCACTCTATGGCTGGCAGCCTTGGGTGCGCAGAATGTGCACGCCTCGGGTTTAAACGAGGACGTCCTCGTAGGCACGACCACCGCTGAGGAGAAAGCGACAGCCATAGCTACTACAAAACACCTTCAAATATGAGCAAAAACGCAACAACTCTAGGGCGAGGGAAGTGTTAAGAGTCCGCCTTCTTCTTCTTCCTCCTCTCCTTCCCCTCGGTGCCGTCACCCGCTCCTATCCCCTTTAAACCCTTAGCCCTGCTACAGCCTACGCTTAGTGAAGAACTGCGTTGCCTATCCCCTTTAAACCCTTAGCCCTGCTACAGCCTACGCTTAGTGAAGAACTGCGTTGCCTATCCCCTTTAAACCCTTAGCCCTGCTACAGCCTACGCTTAGTGAAGAACTGCGTTGCCTATCCCCTTTAAACCCTCAGCCCTGCTACAGCCTACGCTTAGTGAAGAACTGCGTTGCCTATCCCCTTTAAACCCTCAGCCCTGCTACAGCCTACGCTTAGTGAAGAACTGCGTTGCCTATCCCCTTTAAACCCTCAGCCCTGCTACAGCCTACGCTTAGTGAAGAACTGCGTTGCCTATCCCCTTTAAACCCTCAGCCCTGCTACAGCCTACGCTTTACCCGGAAAAATCGACTTTCACCTGAATTTATATACCTTTGAGGCTAAATCTAGCGGAACATGGAGTTTTTTTAGTGTGGGTACTTAAGAGTAATTTAATCAAGTTGATCGCCTCACCCACAGTAGAGTTACGTCCATGGTAAATTATCAATCTCGTAATATGGTTTCTAGAATCCATGAGCCCTTTGATTTCTCATGCATGGTCGCTTTTCTTAAACCCCCCATTGCGACATCACGAGGGGCGTGCCACTTTGTTCTGTGTGTATTTGATGCCTAAGCCCGTGCTTCCATGTGCACTCTTCAGTCTGGTAATAGATACCCACATTTCGTCTGGTAAGAGTTATAGTCCGATGGGTAAAATCCGAGAGATATTACGTGCAGCGCGGCAAGTTCACAAAAAGAAATCTCACTTGCACCAGGCCACAGTACCCAGAAATATACCTACTGAGCACTTCATTTTCACCAAATGCAGTAATAGTCAATTGACTTCCGCGCACAATTCTAGAGTTGAACACATTTCAATAATTGAAGAGGATATGCATCGACCATTTCAGGAGAATACCCTCTCCATGCTACATGAAGAGTCCTAAGCCACACTAGAAAAAGCCTTAGGTGCCGTGAATGTACAAGAGGATCACAGTTGCCGTAGAGGTTTTCTTACGCTTTGAAAAAATCCACCTACAGGAGAGTATTGCCAAGGAAGAGCAATAATAAATGTAGCACTTTCAATTACATTTTTCTATCGATCAACCCCCTCAGGTGGCCACTTATGGATGCGGATACTTCTCAATGAGGTCGTAGAGCTGGTTGCTGATACTAAAGCCAAGCATGCGCAACATGTTATTTAGCTTCACATCAGGTTTTGTTACATTACGAGCCTTTAGGAACTCATGAATCAAAAACAGTTTGTTCATGGCCCATAATTCTAGTGCCTCGGGGTTGTACACGAGCCCAAGTCGTTTGCTCATCTGCAAGACGACACAAAAATTTATCTTATCAGCTGAGACGATGCAAAAAAATGACTGCAATTGAAGCCTCTGCAACTGTACAAGAAATCAGAGGCCCTTCACGCACTGCCATCTACGCCAACATAGCTTGTTTGAGATAACCTTCCCAGCAAGAAAAGAACATAGATGTGTGGCGCTTTGAGACAGGTGAACAGACCTGATGAGGGACAAGCATTGCCGCGTAGCGAGACAGCTCCCCTGCCCGCCAATCCACCACAATTGGGAGCCAGGGGTACGCAGCATCCAAACGCACAAACCACAGCCTGATATCAGGCAGCTCAGAAAGCTCTCGGGGATCCAGGGGGTCATCAACCTCGTATTGCAGCACAAAACCCACTGTTCGCTCAAAGACCTCTTGTAGATCCACTCCCGGGTCAGTTGCGTTGTCACCTGCCAACCAAAACGTTTCCTGCAATGAGAGATCACACCACATACGTTCATCACTTCGTATGTACTACGTGTCCTCTAAGCTTTTGCAATAGAAGTGATAAAAGCGGACCATAGCTACAAAAAATAATAATAATAAGATTCTGCAGACCTGCTGAGCACAATCTGCTATACTCAATACTCGTCTCTATGAAGGATTCAGACCTAGTATCCATGATGAGACTTAAATTACAAATACCTTCTGAAAGATATTGCACAGCACTACTACCCCATAGAGCCCGAAAGAAACCATTCCATCAGCGCTTCTGTATCTTTCAGAATCAGAAAATTGAAGCTAATCGTTAGAAGATGAGCTGATAATGACCTATTTGGTGCACGTATTTCCTGAAGACCGCATGGGCAGGGGAGAGATCAAGCTCTCGGATCTGCTCCTTTGTCACCACGATGTCTATCCTTCCAGGCGTCGGAGGCGGTGCAGGAACAACGCCCTCACCAACTGTGGATTGCAAAGTACACAAAAAAAGAACTCAAGGATTAAAATATGATAAAGTATTGTGTGAGATTCTTTGCGTTCATGTATGCACCTCTGATCGGGACAAATGATTGGACATAGCAGTAATTACAAAGCTTACAGCACAATGATCTTCCAGAAGCATAGCAATCTGAATCACATGAACTTATCCGACCAAGACGAATCTAGAACATTGACGCGAATGAATCCTGAACGTTAATTAACTCTATTGATTCACTAGCTGTTACATACGATTGCATATATATCAAAATGCTCATTCAACCAAAAAGTACTAAGTAATTGCGTCACGAGAGTGAATTCACTGTATTACTTCATGTTTATATGTCTGAAAAAATTGATATCTAGAGCTGCATAATTTGCAGTTAAATTGAATATCAGAAGAAATAATAAATTCCGACTCACATTTGGCCAAGTTGCCAAGCTGAAGATAAAAAATAAATTTATAAAATAATAATTATTATTATTATTAATTAAAAACCAAGAAATGCCAGACCACTGAAATTAATTGCAGCACTCCAACTTGAACTTCTATAACATCAAAATCGTACACACAATATCTGACAACTCAAACACGCAAACCGGGGAAACAATGGATACACAGAAGACAGCAACACTCGCAGAAACTTCAAATGGAAAAATTCAAAACCCCGTAAGGACAACGTCAATCACAACCAAAGAAATACCTTCTTCATCTTCGTATTCTTCCACTGAGAAGTCCGCAGAGCCCTGCGCTGAACTTGCCGGGCGCCATTCCCGTCGTCCAGTGGCGCATTTGCAAGGGTGAGAAATCAATCCCAAGAGAAGCGGATTGCTAGAGAATGGGCGCGTCCGGTGATTGTGGAGAGAGGAAGAGAGTGACGGCGGAGAGGGCAGAAAGCGGGAGGGCAGAGTGAAAGGAGGAGAGAGCAGGGACGTCGTCGCCATAGCTGCGGGTCTCGGCTGCAATGACTTACCATGCCTTCAAACTTCCAGACTCGGTGATCCAAATGAACTGGAGAGATAGAGCTCGACGAAGAATGAAGAAAAAGTGGACGTAGTTCTTCTTCGTTCGTTCAACGAGATATCATCCATATATAATTCATCCAAATTTCGGATGTATTTTGATGGATGAAGAAATCTCGAAATGGTTTTCCTTCATTACGTATTTCTGTCTTTTGCGATTATATGATTATACGGATATCTGAGTAAGGATGGTTGTAGAGGCTGGATTATTGGATTGTAAAAACGTAATCATACAGCATCTAGAAAAAAAAACAGTCTGCTAATCATTTTCTGTTACAAAGCATGAGCTTTTATTCATGTAAACGATAAAGAGTAAAAACGGTTACATTTGCTTAACGTAGTACTGACGAAGTAAAATCTGACGTATCTCATGCTGCAAGTTTACATTTCATTCTTGACAAAACACTGAAGCCTAGCTCTTGCACCCAGGGAAACAAAGACATGAATTTGCAAGGATCCGTTAGTTTTCTTTGGGACTTGCACAACTTCGTGCAATTTGATATGATAATTCAGCCTTCAAAGGCTGCCAATGGAACAAAGGCTGCTTAAAGAATAGTACCAAGAGCCGAATGAGTTCTAAGTATTGTACTCTCAGGAAAAATAACACTACCCACCTACCAGTTTTCAAAATGTTTGGCCCAATAAGCAGGACAGAACTACTTCTAAATGCCGACTAAGGAGGCTATATACCTAGTAAGAACGATGCGACACAGTTTGGGCATAATTAACGGCATTAAAACTCGGCTGTCTAAGTTTGGTTTGTTTTTACTTCGCCCATGCCACAGCACCAATCTCATCCCGGGCATGCTTGTAGAGCTCAAGCCTCTTTGATAGCTGGACTCTGCGTTCCATCAAAGTAGGGTCCTCATCCAACATTTTTGAAAGTTGTTTGCCCTGCTCAGGAACCCCACAACCCAAAATGAGATTTTTGTTTTGATTGAATCCAAGGATCCAAATATTTGCAGAATACAAAACATATACCGAGTAAAGTTGTTTCCAAAGTCCGAGAATACATTATAAACAATTTACTGTTACTACAAAAGGTCACGCAACGCAAGTCTTCTTCAAAACACGTGGTGAGAAAAATCAAAGGCAAACATGTTCACCTCTCGCTTGCCAATTTGAGTGTAAAAATGGTCTAGCAAAGAGCGCTTTGCCTCTCGAACTTGGCAATGCACGGCTACTTTAGGTAGGGAGTTTCTCAAAGTATCACCGACCATGCCAATGTATGATGACACGTTTGAACCTACAGAATATGTGCACAGCATCCACATAATATCAGTTAACAGTGGAACAAAGGACCCCGAAACTTGAAGGTGGATTCAATCATGAACTCTTCTTTTGCATGAATTCATCGGTTTGACAGAGTTCAACATATCAGCTCTACACAATAAAGGACTGAGATTCTAGCATGTATCCTGAGCCAAGGGTCTCACCAATTCGTCGAAAATGACCATCATTATAACGGTCTGCTGTTGACGCAGATGGGTTTCCACCTTTCTCTATCTCTTGAGGAAGTTTCCTAAAAAATTCAACCGTCAAATAGCTAGCCTCCATATCGACTAACCTCAAAGCAGTCTTTTTGCCATCATCTCTCATCCTCTCTAGAGCCTCAATAGCTGCTTGAGCAAGCTCTGCTTGAAGACTTGGGAACCGTTTTAACTCCTGCCAAAGAAGAACGCGATACAAAAACAAGTCGGATATTGAGAAAATATGTATAATCAATATCAATGACCCAACAGTAAAACATCATCAATACATGTCATGATACACATCTTTTCATGGAATAATCGAGAATAGAACACCAATCCACTATGTATGCAATCAAGAGTGTGCGTGACCAGTTGGGACAGAACAGAAAGATAAACACATATAGCATATAACTCTGGCACATCCAATTGGAAAGACAAGTAACGAAAGCGAAATTTGGTTGCATCTTACCGTGCATTCGCCAACCGACCTTCGTACAAGTTCCCTCAAAATAAAATGCGTCTGCACGTTCAGAAGAACATTAGAGGATGATAGCAATAAAATTACAAACCATACAGTACATTGGGACCGAATTCAAAATAACGTACAAAGGTGGTAACAGTTGATAAACATGTTCAGTCGATGATACATTAGAAACAGACGCAATCACGCACCGCATCAACGACTGCTTCAGCAGGACCTCGAAAGTAAGTGAGGGAACTCTCGATCAAGCGTCTATAACCTTGCTCAGGTGCAATAAGATGTGGCTGATATCCATCGGCTTCAGACACAAGCCTTCGTACATTCTGCATAGACAGATGCTTGTCGAAAGGAAGTTTTCTCATGGCCGCTGGCAACTGATTATCAAAGATCAAGTAAATCTTCTCTCCACCGGGACGTCTGAAATGGAGCAGAGGTGTATCAGCTTCAATTAGATAAATAATTGAAACGTAGACCATATTAAGAGGGTAACTAGACGGGAGGGGGGGGGGGGGGGAGAAGCATCCGCAGCCTTGCAATAAATCAGGAAGATTACTTGATGATCAAAATACTTACGATCCATCCAGGTGCTCCTTGAAGATGCGATCAAAGGCTCTGCAAAGCTCCAGAATGGTATAGAGTTGGGCCTGAAAAGCGAAAACACTTACTTGAGACCAGCCATGGGAAATGAAAGTGCGAGCTCATTAATTAATTCTTGGATGATTTTCGAACGTTTGCAAAACTTCACAGAACCTCCCCAAACTTCTGCAATAACAATAAAAAATAAAAGAAAAATAGAACTCCAAAGAACACTTACCCCGGCATCATTCGACAGAGGCCTACCAATCTGATTCAACTCAGTCTCGATTTCATCAATCATCTTATTGATCATGGCGAGTATACTAGGAATACGTGACTTGATTACAGCTTCCAAATGCTGCACCCAAAAACATCGTCAACAGTAACTACATGGATCATGCTCAAGAGTAAGGCATAAAGCTGGGACATTTGAAATCTACTAACGAACGTTCAACACCGAGTTTTGAAGATAATCATTATCATTTGGTCAAGAAAAGAGGACGCATACCTTGGAAAGTACCCTGCCTAAGTATTCTGAACCCATTTTGCTCTGGAGATGGCTATAGTCAGGATTTGTTTGGAAATACTCCCGTTCTCTGCGCCTTGCAGCAATCATATCCACATTCTTGTTGATGTCCTGCTGAGAACGGTTAACGACTCCAACCCATGGATGCACCAATCTGTAAGACCGTCCTTCTAAAACCTGCACACCACAGCTGGAGAGTGAGCTCAAGCCCAATACTCTGATACATAAGCTACTGTAGTATCATCTAAGCATGCACTTCACTCTCATTTCATCTCTCACAAACACTCGAGGTTCAGGAACAAGTTGGCAAGCCCCAAGAGTTCAATACCCAAATTGTTACTCCCGACCCATTCTTACTTCTATTTTAAATCAGACCTAAATGGTAGTCTAAATGAGTTGATTCTAATGTTGACGACTTCACGCATACAGTAGAATAGAGTAACAAAGTTCAAAAATGGTAATTTTGAACAAGAAAAGCTCTCCATGCACGATGATCTTCACGTGCACACTACAAAACAATGACGTAAGAAAATTCCCCAAAAGGTACACTTACATCAAGAGCATTTGTACCCTTGTCCATAAGGTCCAACTTGGTGAGAACACCAAAAGTTCTTTCACCTGCAAGACAGAACAGACTGCAGTTAGAACCTTCATCTTCAACATCGTACGAGAAAACATTGGTGAGCATTGCACACTGGTATACAACAGTGTACGAGGTACCAAAAACTGTTGTTCTTCTAGCATTACCCAAAACAACTGTGGAGCGCTAAAACCATAAATTAGAAAAAAAATTAACACCTTGTGTTTTCAGCCATGCAAACATCGAACAGCTTAATACCTTGTGGATCCACCTCTCTCGCTATTTTAATAGCATCCGAAGTTGCGATATCCTGATTAGCTGGTGATACAGCGAGAATGATACAGTTCGGCTGCGCAAAGAGAATAAGCATAAAAATTTAACGGACGACCAAAATTGAAGAAGAGGAAATATTTAGAGACTTGAAAGAACACTCCATATGTCATACAAAAGAGTAAATATCAGACATGAATGGTCACGTTCAGCTAATCAGAAACGTCATTATCTACAGCGCCGTTACCTTCTCAATGTAAGATCGAACCATGTTCTCAATATCGCCAACGATGCTGTCAGATTGACCATCTGGACATCCACAAATTCATTAGAAGATGATTACAGGTCCAGATAAATGTACGCCCAGGTAAAAATGAACTGTCAGGATTGAGCTTGTTCGAGAGGAGCCACAATGGCAAAAATAAAATGTACATGACTCCAACGTGCATTACATAATCTCCAGAAGAAAGCAGGTAAATAAGATATCGGATGATCAAGGAATAAATGAACAAATTGAAGATTGAAAGAATGGTTTACCAATGGCGATTTTGGTCAGACCAGGAAGATCAATAAGAGTAAGATTCACCACTGCAAGAAAACTGAAGTGAGCACTTTTTCAAACAGAAATATGTCAAACTTAGGATATAACATAAGATGCAACAATATCAAGTTGCAAAATAATTACGTCTTTAGTGTTGGAAGAAAGCCGTGCCACAGAAATTCCACAGCTGCTGAAGACAGAAGAAAAAGTGCTAGAGGAATATTACATTTGAAACGTCTTTACACAAGAACACGCACACTCACCATTGGGAGAATAAACACTCAAATGAATTGGTACAGGAGAGATCTGCTTCGAGCGCCCTGTGATCCGGTCAGTTTCGTCTGAAATCTCTTTCCTGACAGCAGCTGCAAAGTACAGAAAATTGTTGGTATTTGAACTCCCACAGAAAGAATGAGAATGTGCACAATCCGTCGCATCAATGCAACAATTACAGAATAAATTTTGTAAATATCATTCAGATGTGTGACAACGAGTGAGATCTTCAGAGGGTCAGGGAAAGAACTCAACAACAAAAAAAGGTTATAAGAGGTACTACTCGTACCCAAATCAGTAAACCGTCTCTTGGGCATATGAAGAAACTCTGCATACTCGAATCTGTCATCCGTTTTATGCAACTGCAGTACAAGCGGCCGCCGAGTCACAATACCTGGATAATAGCCATTCAGTTTGATGAACACATATCTCCCCATAGATTAAAGCCTCACGAACAAGTTTCACTACACCAATTAGAAGAGACGCATCCGATCAAATTTCATTGCTGTAGGAAAAGAAGGTACATAAAAGAAAAGGTTAGAAGTATGCGTCACCGGAACCACGGGGAAGAAAATCACGGCCAACAATACTCTCAAGAACTGAAGACTTCCCAGAACTCTGTAAAACACATTGCTCGAGTTAGTGTGTAAAATGATTATGATTGAAAGCCTGCACCTTGTTGGATTCAACATGCTTTTCAGTGGAGATTTGATACATGCAAAGACACATCGGCATACTCAAGGTATAAAACCCTAGAGTCTCACATTTCAAGCCAAATGCATCGAGAATTGGAAAACATATATGGCGTGGCGCCAAAAAGTAGCCCCTTTCTGTACGTGAGCAGCAGAAAAGGATATACATGGAGAATGTTAACTTGGCTGAAAGCTTCTTGACAAGACTTGAAGGAGCCATGCATTTCTTCATGCGTATTAGACTAGGGAGTGAGCCATAAATCGAATAACAAATGCTGGTGTCACGCTCTGCAGCAACTTGAAATCACAGCCATATGAATAACCTGAATTTAATGCTAAGATAACGCCGAGTCGCTTTATCTACGATACAGCTCGTTTATATGAAAGAGAACCACACTCCACAGACACATTGTGCGCAGATGCCATTCCTTGAACTTGTAACAAGCTTTTGATTGGGAACAGAACCGAACACTGTAGATAATGATCGGATACAGAATTTTTAAGAACATATATTTGCATCAAGTAATCCGTCAAGACCCTTGAGAAAGTTTACGAGAGAACTCTAAACACATTAGATAAAAAGTTTATAAAAGTCGAACAATGCGCCTGAGATCCCCGGTAGTGTAATCATGCTGGAAGAGGGTACAATGCGCATGCTGTAGGGAAGTAGAGCTGCACATACCTGGCCTCCAACAACTGCGACTGAGGGCAAAGACTCCCAAAGACTTGCGACAGCACCCTCGCCACCGTAGTCACCAAGAGCCGTGCAAGCTCGTTGAATCCGATTGACTAAGCCTATCAAATTGTTATCCATCTTGAGGATATTTTATAGTGTGCCAAGTAAGGCGTTCGGTTCGAAGCCTAAAGTTTAACCCCTGTACAACTGAAACCAAGAGTACAGTATGCTATTCAGCATCACACACAACTTCTGGCTATAAAAAGCAGTGACTGAAAGTAGTTGGACACAGTGCGATAGAGATGGGGAAAATACCGATCAACGTAAGGAACAACAACAACAACAAGAGCATGCAGATTAAGTCGGCTGCTTTGTAGGACCCACATCTGGCCACCAGCCAATGAGTCACAAACCTTGTGAATAGTCTCAAGTAGGTACCAAAATTAAACACTACATTCCCTTAAAACATGCAGCGGAGCAACTCCTTCGATGACCCGATCGTCTACCATAATTCGCTGCGCATATTTCTCAAATAAAAGAGTCGTCTCGACGTAACTAATAGCAGCAGAGACAGCCTCTTCGAAAGGAGATATTTTCATCGCAACACAAATTAACGCACAAAAATAAAAATAAAAATGAAAAAACGTGAATCTAGAATACAGCGCCATTCGAAGCTACTCACAACGAGTCACGATATCTCTATTCAAATGCGACTCAGGCGATAACGAGCGCATCGCAGAACGAAGCTTCTGTATTCCTATACACCAGCTTCCGTAATAGTCCACATTCTAGAACCACAACCTTATGACTTGCCACCGTCCACGGCAACGAGACCAAGTCATCCCAAGCGATTTTCCACGCAAACTCGCACCCCGCTTCACGAGTTCCAAATTTCCGATTGTCTCTCCATCCTCCAAATCACAACACAAGCAATTCCACTTGTCTTTTGGCAGCACTAACAACACAAACAACGCAGCAATCGAGACTCCAACCTCTGTATTCGTAGACCTCATGAACACGTCTACTACACGTTTTTCCGGACCAAATGCGATGAAGTATAGCTTCACGAGTTGAGAAAAACCTGAGGTACAGCTCCAGGGCAGCTCCGCTACACATACAACATCCACGATGACTGCAAAGGCCAGAATCAGACGCCCTCGCAACACAGCAAGCAACGCAACGCAGCAGAGAGCCAGTGCGGAAGGAAGATGTTCTGGGAGCTTGAAGAAGAAACAGCAACAAAGCAACGAACGAACGAGCGAAAGTGGATGAATGAATAAATCACGCAGTCAGAATTGCTCTCTCTCTCGTTCATCCTTAAAAGGCTGTTGCTATCCCGTTAAAGATGAACAACGTTCGTCTTGTGTGTGGAGATGAATGTGTTGGATGGATTTTCTTGGATGAAAATGGTGCTTCGTTGGTTGAAGCGCCAGATTCAATGTTGAATGATTGCGCCACGATGAATAGATGAAAACTTTGGCTCGAAGAGCTGGCTGCTGCAGTGTGGACGAAGTCATGACTGGACGTGAAATGGGCTTTTACCAGTTAGTCGTATATCAGAATCATTATAATTATTATTAGCATTAGTATTATTCTGATAGTTATCAGGACCATTGCTGGCTGGGTCTAGCTTCAATGTCATGTCTCTAAGTCTTTTTCTATTCTGTATTTTGAATTGGGACCTCGAAACTTGTGGTACTCCAGCCTTCAATTCCCATTTGGGTCTGGGTGGTTCTATTCTGTAGAATCCCCTCTACAACAAGCAAACTAGCAAGTGAACAAAGTGGTAAGCTGTAGATTATATATTAGATTAAAATTTAACTAACTCACAAATGCACTTCAATACCAAAAGCCTTTTTTTTGTTATATATATATATATTTTTTACAACTAAATATGTTGATTGTGTTATTGGATTGGATTTGTGAATGCATTATTGAGTAAAAATAATAATTAGCTTTATGATTGAGCCCTTTGTGGTATCAATGTAATAAAATATATATCCAGTAATACCTTGTATTTGAAAAAGAAAAAAAGAAAAAAAGAAAAAAAGAAAAAAAGTAAAGGTCAAAGTAAAAATGAAAATAAATAACATCATTAGTAAAATGAGCAATTAATTTATTGCAATGAAATATATAAATTTTGTGTTTAATAATTTTATTTGAAAAAAACAGTAGTAATAAGTTTTTTTAATAAAAATCTTACTTTATAATCTAGATTTTAGGGTTTTAGGATTCATGTAGAGAATGTTATGCAAGACTTCCATAAAAGTATGTAAGCCAAGAAAAGCATATAAAATAATAATAATAATAATAAATCAAAATTGTTAATTTAATTTTTTAATACAATTATTTTTATGGATTCCTATGTTTGATATAATAGTTATAATATTTTGTGCATCAAGGGATATATATATATATATATATATATATAAAGAGAATGAGAGAATTGCTACATTCCCAATTGATATTGCTACACCTCACATGACCTCCATCCAACTTAAATTGACTAAAAAGTGTGCATCTATTCCTATGGTGCATTTGGCAGTCCAATGTTTAATCCCAATATTGATCCAAAAATAGAATAAATTGACAAATAAGTTTTTTTATGCTTTTGGCAACTATTTTTTAATTAATTAATTAATTTGAATTAAACAAATTTTGAGGCAAATATCTTATTTTTTAAAAAACATCTTGCAATCTCTTTTTTATAAAATATTTATTATCTCTCTCTCAACTACCAACCTTTCTTAAAGCAAAGAAAGGGATAAATATACAAATGAAAGAGACATATTATTAGCTAGTTGTTTATAGGGAGGTCATGTGGGGTGTAGCAATATCAATTAGGAATATAGCATTAATAGTTCTCTCTACATGTATGCATTTATATATACACACACATATACATACATGCACATACACATATACCAATGTAGGTACAATTGAATTGTATGGTTAGTTTTCAGGAATGACAAATATGTAAAAATCAAATGTTGAGTTTAACATGTTTGGAAACAAATAAAAACTAAATGTAAAAATAAAATTAAAATGGAGATTTCATAAATTATATTTGAATTAACATGAATTAGAAACAGTTGGTTTTTATCTTTCAGTATTCTTGTTAGTTTTTTAAAAAAACCAGTTCTCAACATGTATAATATAAAAGAACATGATCTTTAACAAAGCAAGTTAAGTAATTGTTAATTTTTGTTTCATATCCCATCTCTTGAATACTACATTGTGCCAAAATAATTATTGATGAACTTTGTGAAGTTTGTTATTAATATCTATTTTAGATTGATCTAAAAATATATTAAAATATTAGATAAACAAAAATACACAAGTTTATTCAAGACAAGAATTTCAAAAACAAAAAATAAAATTGCAACATTCTTTTATGATTATATTTTATTGTATATATATATATATATATATATATAGGAGAATGATAAAGCAACCCAAATTTTTGTTAAAGTGACCCATTCCATCTTAACCATCTTTGCAACCCCCATCCTTGTTTTCAATTGTTTCTCGTTCTCAACTATTGCTAAAGACGGGGGTGGAGAATAAGGAATGTTAGGAATAGAAGTAACAATTGGAAACAAAGGAATTGCTCTGAACATGGATGGGGTTAAAAGGGTATAATGATGGTATAAACATGTGGATTGATTTAGTAAAAACTTTGGGTCACTTTATCATTTTTGAATGTATATATATATATATATATATATATATATAGTTTTAGAAGTTTATTAGTAAAATATTGTATAATAATGCATAAATATATTATAGCCATGTAAGAAGATTTGCCTCATAGAAAACTACATTGAAACTTCAAATTTTTTGATGTCATATGAAACTAACTTCAAAACACACCACATTAGTTATAGCATGAAGTTTGGTTAGAACGAACGACACCAAATTTGGCTCCATTTTTAGCGGGCCCTCTAAATTTGGCGCCCCTCTAATGACCCCCATCGACGACATCGTCATGAGAAGGTACAATACTTTTAATACATAATTACGATAGGAATATACGAATACACGATACGAGATACGTACAAAACGACGCGACGTCTGATCGAGAAGGACGCTGGCTATGGCGGTTGGAGACATTCATCATTCCGCCGACGGATCATTCAAACCACGAAGTTCGCACGCGAAGGAAGAGGATTCTTCAACCAACTCGGTGGAATTCACTTTACTTACTCCACTTGTGCCGAAAGTGGTTTGTCAGAGAGAGTCCTTGCGGGGAGAAGCAGTTCCAGTTCAAGTGAATTCTGGACATGGCCATATCCCCACGACGGACGATGAAGCTTTGTGGGTACACGAAGGATTTCAAGCGTTTTCTCGGGTGATTTTAAGCACATATTGCAGATTTCGTTTTACGTTGTGGGGCTGTTGAGGGAATTCGAAAGGCAGGTGGAGTTGGGAATATGGGGAGAGAAACCTAAACATGGAGCAGTTTTATGGAGAGAAGCCATCACCGGGAGTGGAGCTCGTTGTGTTTGCTTGTCACGATCGCTGGAGATTGTTCCTGAGAAGAGTTGTAGACAGTTTGGTGGGAGCGTAGGAGGTTGGTCTGTGTAAAGGTTAGAGCTCTTGTTGTGAAGTTGGAAAAGGATGGTGCGCCCCTTTTTGGAATTTCTCGTGTCTCGATTTGTGCACGTGCACCAGCATGAAGTCCCTGCTTTGCTCCATGCTTTCTCGGCATTCTTCTTTGTAAGTGCAGTACTTCAATTTCTCTTCGTAGTGGACTCATGTCTGCGATGATGTCAAGGCTCCGGATTCAATGTGTGAGCTGGATGGAGTTGAGGGTTTATCGTAAATTTTTATGGCATTTGGTGGTCACGGTGTCTTTTTTAGGGGATTCTGCCATGCTCATGAATGCGGGCATCAGTGCAAATGCTGCCCTTGTGTCTCTTCGGATTTGGTTTCACGTTGGTTTTTCATGTCTTGGATTTTAGCCTTGAACTTTGAACCGCTCATACTAATCCACTTCGTTTTTACGCCCTCAAATTTTAGTCGCTCGTCTAGCTTGATGGATCTCTCCCATTGAGGCTGTGATCTTTAAATATTCCTGTAATGATGTAATAGTAGACTTAAGCGACTAGAACCTGTTTTATAACCCTCATTTATGCACGTATTTGTGGAGCTAGTTTCAATGGGCAGGCAGAATGAGCTTCGTGCGTGTGGGATGACTGAAATTCAATTGCGGTAACTTTCTAATAGCCTAAGTTGATGAACCAGTTGCTGGGTGCATACTTTGTGGTCCTACCGCTACGAGATGAGGCAGCTTTGTCACTGGGTACTGGTGTTTTGCCAGCCCTCTTTCTGGGATCTTTGGTGCTCACCATGCTAGCGGCTCCAGCCTCGTCCTATTTACTCTCACTCCCAGGTCTGCCCAAGAGCAAGGTGAACCCCTTTCCTGATGCAACCTTCTCGCATTCATCCAAATGCAAGGATTCCCTAGGTTTTGATAGTTGGAGGCAAGTAAGTTGAGTTGCCTGGCATGGGATTCTCGCAGAGAACATCGCTCTTGATTCCATTGAAGATTAATCGAGACTTGTCTTGGTTGCAGGCTCTTGTTATTTTGTACAGGTTTTTTGGCGGTTCACTCCTCGTGTTCTTTCTTCTTTATGTTCCCGTTCCTGCCTCGCAACTATCAACAATTACGGTCTTCCTCTTCTCTTTTGTGCATTCCTTCTTTTTGTGTTTGTTTGTTTGTTTGTTCTTGGAGACTGTCATGAGGAAACCACCATTGTATTTGGAAGAGTGTAATGTAATTTTAATAAGCTACATTTGATTGAAATGCAGCGAAGCCAAGTCATAGTGGAAAGTTTATAATATCTTCCACAATTTGCTTACAAAGCAATCTGTGATGGGCGTGTAGGATGCGAGCCTGCCTGATCCCTTGAAACCTGGAGATGGCGCAGCTATTACAGATGCCGACTCGGTGTCTCCCACAAGTTGGCATAACCTTTCTTGGTATTTCATCGGAGTTCGTGGTGGTTTCTTCCTTTGGGTAGGTACACAACTTCTTCCTGAAGGTAGTTATTGTCCTTTGGCAAGTATTTCTTCGTCTACATTGCTTTGGAAAAATAAAAAGCTTTTTACAAAAAGTTTTGCTATTATTGCTTTTCATTAGGGTTTTTGCAAAATTTTCCGTCTGTTGCTTGTTGAAGTTTTTTTGATTTGGTGTAATTATCATCTCCGACTTCTTCCTCAACATGTTCACTCAGAGATATCTTCGCACCCTCGAGGACGTTCCTGTGACTACATTTTATCATACCCGCTTGTGCAGATTGCACTATTAAATCTATTCACCATTTCAGCGATGTGGGCACGTGTCACTGACGTTATGACAAGTGAGGTTAGAAATTTGCTGGACTCGTACCTGTATTCTTGTTAATGATTTTCGACCGAATGGATCTGTATCATTCTGGGCAAACTGAAGAAGATTATTAAATTGGACATTATTCGGTTTCTCTCTGTTTGGATTTCGAGCACCATTAGCTAGAGAATGCTAGGATCAGGTCAGGGGTTTGGCATCTATGTCTTATCCAGGCATAAGTGTTTGTAAGTGTTTAAGCTTTCTCGTTTTGGTAATATCCCTTGAAAACCTATTTTGTGATTGGTAGATGGGGACTAGGCTTTTTGGCTTCATTGGTGCTGGGGCAACATTAGGCCAGCTTGTTGGATCGTTGCTGGCTGTTGGTTTGGCTCGCCTTGGACCAGGTTGAATTTCCGACTTCAGGTTTGAATTGTGTCCTTGTAGCCATCTATGACTTTGACAGCTGACATCTCCAAGTTTCGCCTATGTTTAATATGAATTAAGAGTTCAGTGCAAATTGTGGGTTTGAAGCAAGTGTAAGAGTGGTGTAGAACTTGGTGTTTCCCAATCTCTTGTTACTCTAGCTAGCTCTCGCAACATTAGGATGAACGTAGTTGCATTTGGTCTTATCTGCCGTTGTTCTTTGAGCAGTGCTGCTTCTGTTAGCTGCATTTTTGATGGAGCTGGCCGCAAGATGTTCATTAGGTGTCGGTGAAGATGGTCTACATCGCATGTCTGCAATAGCAAGGTTGACAGCTACTCTAAATGTCCTTGATGGTGGTTTCTGAGTGTCTTTATGACATGAGCTAACTAAGAAGGATGCTTTTACCTCAATCGTTCTGGTTCGTGGATTTTCGCCTCTGTAGAATATGTCCTGCTCTTGCGCCTTGCCTTGCAATATCTGAGGAGTGTCCTGTGATTGAGAGTACGCTGGATCTTTGTGCATCAAACATGGAAGCAGGTGTGCACATCGCTGCTATGTCGTATGTGAGGTACCAACGTATAATTTAAGGTCTCGGATTACCAGCTAACTTTTTGTGAGTTATGTTTTGTACAGCAACCCAAGTGAAGGTGAAGGTGAGCCGTTGGTAATACTTACCGAACATACAAACAAGGCTGGATCTTCGGAAGATTCTGCTACATTGTTGCATACCACTGCAAATAAATTAGCTTCTTTGTTGGAGGGTGTACGGCTTATTTTCTCCTCGACATACCTTCTCCAAATCTGTGCGTTTTTGTGGTTGACAGCGGTCGTGTCATCATTTTTTTATTTTGAGGTTAACAATTCTCGCTGAGTTCTTTTGTCAAGTTTGTATTTTTTTACTTACTTGTAAGCAAATAATCAAAATTTTCGAAATCAAATTAAACTGAATTGTTGAGTGTGTTCGGTAGAGATTTCGCTTTTACTTATTGTCACTTTAGATTATACTTTGACGAGTTTGACCTGTCCGACCTAAATCACAAAAATTATCTACGCAGAGATCAGCAGTTGTTGCAGATACTACTCGAGACCCGATAGGAAGGAGAATTCTACTTGCTGAAATTAACAGTTTGACAGCTATATTTATTCTGACCGGCCAACTTACGGTCACAGTAAGTTGTTTCTACATATGTACTCGATATCTTGAATGTAGACTCATAATTTTAGTTATTTTTCATCAAATTGGATTTTAGGAGTTTGCTGTATGGCTTTGTGAAGACTCTGTTAAGCTTGAAAAGGGTCATAGTTTGGATGTGTACGACTCGCATGATTGAGAGGTCACCATTTTAGATACTGACAGCTGTAGCATCTGAAGCTAAAGTACTCCATCTGCATCAACGTTCTTACAGGCTGATTTATACATATAGAATTTATATTTTTGATTTGTCTGCACAGTTATAGGATGCGAGGTGTGTAATACTCAGAGTTTTGGAAATGCTGTTAATGCTGCTTTTAGGGTCGACTTCTATCCAAGCTTGGGGTCACAGCAGCTCTTTGTGCACTTCCTGTGGTGGCACTTCTCAACTTAATAGCAATCTCTGCGTCACCAACTTCAATCGTGATAGCAATTTCTGAGGCTGTTCGGAAGGTCGGCGAGTGAGACATTGTTTGTTTTTATCTTGGCAAGTCATTCTTGTCAAGAACGAGGCGATCGGTTACAGCTGCTTGCATTGAATTGTTTCTGGCTGGATGAAGGAATCAAGCTGTCATGTTTGAATAGCTTGAAACTCTCAAGGATTAGGATCTTTTAGCTTGAGTTCAATGGTCGTTTGAAACGCTTGATGTGCAGGTTACGAACTATGTAATAACACGGCCAGCGAGGGAAATCCTCTTTACGGTGACTACTCGTGAAGACAAGTACAAAGCTAAGGTTAATTCCTAATTAACGAGGTTTAACTAGAATTGATCCTTGTGTTTTGTTTGTTTAAACCACTGTTTTGGCCTCCATATCTGCATCATTTCTTTTTATAAAGGTTCAAATGTAATGTTCTTGGTCACGAGACTATCTTACGTTTCTACTTGCAGGTGATCATTGACACCTTTGTGCAAAGACTAGGAGATGCGGCTGCAGCCGGGGTGTACAAAATGACCGAGGCCTTGCTGCTTCACGCACCTTCTGCTATTGCAACTTGTGCTTTTCCGGTAAAAATGACATCCGACACATTACAAGAAGAGCTGATTATGTGTGCTATATCTCACGAATCTATAGCATGCAGTATATTCCGACTTGCTCTACCCAACTTCTCCGTATCTCTGTACACAATATCGCCTTCATCTTCGTTTTTATTTGCTACAGCTATGCGTAGGTTGGCTGTGGGTTGGAGTGGCTCTTGGACGCCGACAAGCATTGCTTTCTAGGATGTTAGAATCTTCCTCTTCCAGCTGAACAGGGGGATTCGCAATTGGTCTTCCATTCCATGACCCTTACGCTCCTAAAATGGTAAGGAATTGCATTCTTCTTGCATGCCCCGAGTATTACTGGAGCAGCTACCTTGTTTGATTGCACTAGGTGGAAAGGCTGCCAAAATATCTAAATTTTGGTTGTGACGACGAGAAAGCTCGCTTTGATTTTACTGAAGAGGCATGTCTCCAGAGCTACTAGTCGTCTTGTTGAATAAGAACTTGTCCTTCACTTAAAAGCATTTTACACTGGTGCTGGTTGCCAAATATATTGTTAGTTCTGGATTTGCCCTCACAAATGAATCTGCTGCGCACAAGGATAGGGGGCGTTCGAACAGCTGATTGGAGCTTTGGGCTGGTCATTGTGGTAATTTTTGTCGTGGTTTTGAGATATTGTGTAAAATGGTTTGGCAATTGCCAATTACTCTATTGGCTGAAGATTTGGAATCATTTATTCAAGTCTCGGCACTAGTCATTTGTGACTCGCTCAAGATCCTCTAATTTTTCAGGCATTATTCTTCTTAATTATTGTAGGATAGCAAAAGTACAGATCACAAATGCCTGTAAGATTTCTACTTGGTAATCTATGGTCTCCAGTTGCCTCTTTGCATTCTTTTTGGCCTTCACCTTGGTTAACGACGGAGCCTTGACAACCACAACCAATGTGAAGCCTTTGTGAAACCAGCCTGGCGCTCAAATGCATCGTGATTGCACGCACAGAGATAACTTTTACTTGGAAATTAGATCTCCTTTCACAAGGGCAGCACAACAGGTGACTTGCCATTGCTGGTGTTTTAACATCACCACCCAGTTATCCTCCACACACGTTTCATGTGTCAGAATAGCAAATGATCTGAAAGTGCAGGTATTCTCTGAAGTAAAATGTTCTTCTTTTTTCTAATCGTATTTCCACCTGGAGGTAGAAACAGTGACCGCTCCTGTGGGTCTGATGCTGGTCGTTTTACTGACTTTGAGCAGAGACTTGGTGAAGGAGAGACGACTTCTGCAAGAGGTATATGAGGGAGGAGAGGCTGAATTGGCCCATCTACCTTCGCGTCGACAGAGTCTGAAATTACAAAATCAGGTAGCGCGCCAGGATAACAAGGGACCTGGCTGTGGGTTAAATTCAGCAGCATCAGCAAACGTGTGTTGACAGATCCGTGGCTGAATCCTCGGAACAAGGGATCCCTACATGAGGAAACCTTGCATCTCAAGTCTGGTCCCAAAGCATCCCATTTGCCTTGCAACTATGTATATGGTGCTTAAAATAAAACAAACATAAAAATACAATAAAGAAGATAAGAAGAAGACAGGACAAGAATATATATATATATATATATATATATATATGTGTGTGTGTGTGTGTATGTATGTATAGAATAGAAAATGATGTATTATTATAATCCAAAAGAGTTGATGCCTGCTTGTCCGTATTAATTTCTCATTAGTTATTGTTGGTGTTCCTACGTATTATACACTTGTGTATTGACTTCAATCCTTCAAAAACGAAGGCATTATTTAAAGAAAAATCTGAAAAAATAATAATGGAATTCGTTTATCACTGTGATGTGGCTTTGATTCATGCAACAAAAATCTTCTTCTTCTTCTTCTTCTTCTTCTGCTTTATGCATAGACCTTCTCCTTATTCATGTCCAGGCTTATTATTTAAATAGACCTGTCGAATGTTAAAAAATAAAAGCTTTATTCTTTAGGTTTTATAATGAACTTTAATTGCAACACCAACTAAATTAGTAAGTGTCTCAAATGATATACGCCGCTACTTTGATTAGAAATATTCAACGAAACTTTCTGTAGCATTGGGTAGCGCTAAAAGATATCATGCCATGATTTACATGAAATATAATTAAAAGCAGTGTGCTGAACATGTTATCAATGTATCAATTATGTGCCACACTTGCAATATATACACACACACACCAAAGTTGTTATTAGAATGCAAATAATTACAAGCCTTCTGCAACACCAGTACTTCATTGTCTACTTTATAATATAGAGTATTTTTGTACATGACCTTTGAAAAGACTACTCCAAGTTTCATACAATTTGTCTGCAGAAAACATATTTGATCTTAAGAATTTAATGCCATTAATAAGTTTCTAGCTGTATTCATATTTCAAAACTGTCACTGTAAAAACATGTTGTAGAATGTGTAAATATTTTCATCAATATTACATTATATAACCTTGTCTTTTATTTTACTTTTTTTTCACTCATCAGAATTCCATAATATTGATTTTAAAATAGAATTATTCACTTCAAAACAAAAAAATATAAAATCATAATTATCAATATATATACATATATATATATACATATATATATATATATATATTAGATTTTAAACAAGATCAAGCACTGTTATGTACAAGTAATTGAGAGGGTTAAGTTCAATAAAAGTTATCAGTGAACATCACAACAGGAAGAATACAACAAAATCAATATTATTTCTGTGTGGGTGTTTTTGTGATTATTGTATCATTTAGTTTTAATAGCTGTATTAAAGAACTACTGTGTCTTTATTTATTTATTTATTTCTCTATTAGATACATGTTACAAAATCACTGTACTGTATGTATAAACTCAATCTAAACAGGATTTATTTTTTCTTATTGTATTATAATCATAAAACAATATAAGACCAGCAACAACAATATCCTTAATATGCCATTACACCATCACATCCATTTTATGTCACTATATATTCATCCTTGCTTGGTTCATTTACCAGTTTCTTGCAAACATATTTATTCAGGCATTTTATATATAACCTTGATTTCTAGATTCTTCTAGAACTATAATATTATATATATATATATATATATATAGAGAGAGAGAGAGAGAGAGAGAGAGAGAGAGAGAGAGAGAGAAATTTTATGTAAATAAAAGCATGGTTAAATGTCAACCATCAAGATCAATAATTTGAGTTTTTAAGTGACTTGGTAGAATTTCTAAGGTGTCTTTCTTTGTTATGAAACAGTTCAATGTATATTCTACTGGTGAATGATCTTTGTCTGTGTGTATCAATTTCTGTGTTAAAATTTAAAATGTATTTCCAATAGTTTTCTAATATTTATTAAAATCATTTCAGAAATTCTCATTAAACACAATGTAGTAGATGGTTTGTTTCATTATATATTAAATGTTTGTAGAGGTTTTGAATTATTTTCATTTAGATTAATAGCATATTATATATATATATATATATATATATATTAATTAGTATTTATATAAAAAAATATGATTTAAAAAAACTTAGATTCCAAAATAAAATATGATTAGTAGTAAATCTAAGAAATCATAAAACAATTATAAGACTTTAAGATTACAAATTAATTCATTATAACAACCACAAATAATAACCAATAAAATTTTGCATGTATGTATGTATGTATGAATATATATATATATATATATATATATATATATAATCATTAAATTGGATTTATTTATAGATAATTTATACACCAACTTTGATTCATCAATGTACTTCACCTATAAATTTTAATATTCAATTACTCATTAACCAATATTTGATTTTATAAAATTATTTTATTTAAAAAAATGAATGATATAGATGATTTATTATAACTTAAATCAAATGATTTTATAAATTATTATAATACCATAAATTAAAAATATATGTATTATGTTTTGAGATTTTATATTTATATAACTCATTGTATTACATCTATATTAAAGTGATAAAATGTATGATTTTAGAATCTCTAAAAAGTAAAAATATATAAAATAAAATAAAAAACATGTAAAATATCTAAACTGATATCTAAAATTGAATGAATTAAATAAATTAAATAATATTTATACTTTTATAATAGAAAAAATAGAAAAATATCATATATATATTCTTGAAATATGTTGAAATATCAAGAATATCCATGTATTCTTAATAATAGCAAATATATCCCTTACTTTTGTGATAATTACAAATTTGCCCTTGCACTTCATAAGCTATGAATATTAACTTAATTTAGGTGCATCTAGGGTCCAAAACGCATGCCATGCAAAGGTTTGGCACAATAGTTTTGTGTGTAGTCAAGTTTGGGCACCACATAGACTAGACATTGATGCTTTGGTGCTATTGTCACAAACTATGGCATGAGTTGGCTTAGTTTATGACCAAGAGTAGAGTATAGAGAGGTGATCAACTATGGTAGATTGCCTTTGGTTTGGAATTTAAATACAATAGAGTATTATATAGAGGGCTATGCCACTAGGTCAATTGGAGAATAATGAAAGATGTCTACTACACATGTATGTACACACATATACATACATGTATATTAACATCAATTGTTCCACGCAAATTATTATCACAACCTTGGATTGCAATGATAAACAAAAACTTCATTCATATACTTCAAAGTGAAGACACATTATATACAATGTAGTTGACAAATATACTTCTAAGCAATAATGCTTTAGTCTTTAGAAGTACTATCTATTGTAAACCCGGAATCTCAATTTTGATACATGTTGTAATTTTGAACATGTTGTATTTGATGCTAGATCATATTATATTTGTGCCACAATTTTATCAAAGATGATGTAAGTTCCTCACTTATCTTTTATCTTGGATTTATTGTACAAAGTATAAACATATCATCCTTTTTGATGCTTGTCATCATTTCTTGTTAAATATTAGTGGTAGGAGAGAGAAGACTTTTATTTTTTTTATTATTATTTAATCTAAATTTGTACCTATTGAGATTGTTGAAAAATGTGGATAAAACTAAAAACCTAAAATAATTAATAGATGCTTAGGGTTTTCATGGTTATAAGATTATATGCACAATTTTGGAAGGTCTTCAATTACTAAGCTTGTCTTTACAATTTCCAAACCTTGCACCATGAATATAGCTTCTCCTATGTCAACCACAACCTCTTGGTCAATTATCTTCTTCTTTTGCTTTGGATTATGCCATAAGGTGTATTGTAGGTGATTCCTCCTATGAAAATGCAATCTTTTTACACTTCTAAATTCATCATTGCATATCTCATATTTGTAACAAATAACATTTGTCTAGTCTCCATCTCCATATTTGTCATTATTCAATTCCTTTGAGCTAGATGACTGGCATAATTCATCTCCATCTTCTTCTTTTTTGCCTACTTTCCTTGTCTTAATTAATCTTAGAATCCGGCAGAGCTTCAAAATGGAGGTCTAATTTGATTGATGAGCTTTGGAAGCCAATGGAACCTAATTGCATCTTTTCTCCAATAATTGTTTGTAAATAGAAGTATGGAACATTACACAATTTGAGTGCAATAATTGATATTAATATATATGTATATGTATATAGATGATGTCTTCTGTTAAACTGAAGCAGATCTGATTGCATAGCCCTTCATAGAATACTCTTTTGCATTTGAATCTCAAATTGAAGGCAATCTGCCATAGTTGGTCACCTCTCTATGCTTTGCCTTTGGCCTCAAAGTAAGCCAACTTATTCCACAAGTTTGCAATGGCACGTCTGAGTGGTGGCATTTAGTCAATGGGTCTTTTTAATATTTCAACATATTTTAGGAGTATATATGATATTTTTTCAAAGTTAAAATTAAATAAAATATTTTTCTTTTAATTCAAAAAAAATCATGACAAAATAAATTAAAGAAAGAATAAATATAAAATAAAATTATAAGAATAATATTTTTTAATATAAATTAATTTTAGGAAATAATAATTAAAATTAATCTAAAAAATCTATACCATCAAAACACACAAGTATTAAAATTTATTACTCATATAAAAACATATTTACATTAATAAATATTAGAAAATGATAAAGCGACCAATTTTTTTTCTAAATCAGCCCACATGTTTAAACAGCCCATCATTGTACTCTTTCAACCCCGCGTAAAGAGTTTTCACGACTCTGCCCGACTGGGCAGGGTCCACATCCCGGGTACATCGGGGGAACGGGCCGGGCCGGGTGGGCGGGAGCGGAGGAGGGCGGGGCGAGGAGGAGGATGATGAGGGCCCTCCTCGAGAAGGAATGGGAGGTGAGGCCCGTTGTTGCTCCTCTGTCCTGTTCCTGCGCACGGATCCCGTCACAAATCCACGCCGACGGCTTCGCGGCGTCCAGGTCCCTCCGCACGCGTCTTCCACACCCAACAACGGCACCATATGATGCACAGACGACCGAGAACGCCGGGTAATGTTGCAATAGCAGAATAGCAGCAGCAAGAGAGAGAGACAGAGTTGATGTTGCGCCTTGCCTGGCCTGGCGAGGAGGAGCTTGCCCAAGACGACGACATTTACGTCAATAGAGGAGGGGGAGGGGGAGGAGGAGGCTGGGATGCCCAATTGCGACGGTGGGGGTGGAGGATGGCAGAAGAAGAATGTGGGGCCTTGGGGTGAGGACGACCAGAAGGGCGGGGGTGGATGTAGGCGGGGACGGCAAAATGGAGGTGACCAAGGTGCTCTTCTGCGGCGGATTAGCGGTGGTGGTCGCGTACGGGATTTACTCTTGCACCTGCAGGTTGCGGCATCGACAGCTCCGCAGCTACCACGAGCCCGCGTGTGACAACCACTCCCCCACTGTGCAGGTGCGCGCCCGTTTCGTTGTTGTACCCTGACCCCTTGTTCTATGTAGTTACGTTCATGTCAATTGACCATCGAATGTTGGCACAAGCACGATGATGGGTTTTTCAGGGGCAGACCTAACCCGGGTCATGAGGTGGAGGGTGCGCTTGGATGGCGCCTCTGTAAAGGGTCGCAATGCACGCGGGGTTGTGTTGTCAATTTGTTGAGAGCTCCATGCTTGTGATTCATGTTCGGGGTTGTTTGCCTCGAATGCGTTTGATAGCTGCCAGGGTCGTGGATGCGGTGCGTTTCAGTCTAGTGCTAAGTATAGGTTGGCTTTTCGGAACATTGCGTTCGCATTGCCGATGTATTGTATTCGGAGATTCTCTGTTTGTTCAGTAAGATGGATGTTTCGTACGATCAGCAATGGATATGTATGGTCATTGGATCGCATGGCGCCCCTGTCAATTTTTCGCACCCGATTATGACAAGAATCAGGTGGAGTCGTGGGGCGTAGATATTTCGGAATGTGTAGGTCTGCAAACTGGGCCAGTCGGTTAGATTACTAATTTAGGTTACCATTTTGTGAAGTGGCGATTCCTCTGTGTTTGTGAGATCAATTTCATAATCGGAAGCTTCAGAGTTTCTGCGGAATTCATTTACAGACTTCGGTCTGGCACTGTGGAAATTGTACACAGTGGCTTAGAAGAGTGAGTATGCGCGTGGGTTTGATAAGTGCATGTTGTACATGCTATGCACTCTCGTTGCTGCTGTGTGTCGGATGAGGAATGGAGGTTCCTGATATTGTGGGGTTTGGGGATTGGTTGCAGAGACCCAAGGATTTGCTGCAGCCTCTTTTAGAAGGTAGCGACGCTGCTGTGGGTCTGGGGCACACTTGGAGAGGTTCTAGAGGATCGAATCCAGTCCCTGATTTAGAGAGAGGCTTAGAGACTGCTGTGACTGTCGAGAGTGATTATTTGAATGATCCAGAACGTAGTGTTCGGAAGGAGGTGCCAACTGCAGGCGAGGTTCCTAAAGCTCGAGCTGCTTCTTCAAATTTAGGTCTCCCATGTGAGTTTCTAGTTACCAAATGTTACCTTTTATCATACTTCACAAGCTATGAAGCTGATGGTTTATTTGAAATAATCTTATTCTTCAAGATACAGGTCTCTTTTTGGTGTTGCTTCCGATTCTGGATGTAATATATCTTTGGTTGAACTTGGGAGCCTCCTGAATCCTTGTCTATAATCCTCAATTGACGAGTTTTGTACATTGTTTGCGAGATTCTGCAGATTATAAAATTCAGTTGGAGGTTGTAGCTGGACCTGTAGCTGGCCTTCGTGCAGAGAAACAGGTTGTCGGTTCAAACGCTGTGTTGACTATTGGTCGCATGCCACAGAATGACTTGGTGCTCAACGATCCCGAGGTTTCTGGGAAGCATATCGTCATTAGCTGGAATGCAAAGGTGAGATATGATAGCCGATGCATTATTTCCTTGTCCTTACTCGATCTGCACACTTAGTTGCGGCTACTCGGCCTCATCAGTCATTGTTGTTCTTGGAAAACGCACTCAAATTGGATAACTTTATCTTGCTATCAATAAGATAGGAAGAGATCTTAAGCCATGGTTTAGACGTGTTCTGCTTGATATTAGCCATACTTTCTGCCAGTTAGATTCAGTACTACATGTGGATGTTCAATTGGCGATGTATATGTGGATGGCAGTTGTCGAAATGGGAGCTAGTAGACATGGGCAGTTTGAATGGGACCCTTGTCAACAGCAGGCCAGCAAGTGTTTCTCATAAAGCCAACTCAATTGTACGGCAACGTGGGCGTCCAACACCCCTTTCTAACGGGGATACCATTACTCTTGGTTCATCATCAAATGTACTTGTAAGTATACTTGAAAAGTTTGGTTGGGAGACGATCTTATCAATATTTTGCCTATTCTCTATTAAGAATAAGTTAGCTTGACCCTTTAGGAAGGGTTTGATCATATGTAGAGGACTTACATTGGAGCAGGAGAACCATCATTGCATTGGTAAATGATAGTCTTCCTCTTACTTGAGCTGAGTGATTGCTAATTTGTGGCTGCGGGAGGGGATTATAGGTGCGAATTTCGGCATCTCACCTGTCCATAGCCTCGGCACCCTTTGAGGTTGGAGTGGCGTCAGATCCCATGTCTCATCGCCGTGGTGGGAGGCCATTGCCTATGGAAGATGTGTGCCTTTGTGAATGGCCCTTGAGAGATACACACGAGGTTTTGTTCTTCTTCTGCTTTCTGGTTCTTTTTAAGTAGCCCTTTGCAAAGAGGAAGAGCTGTTATTTCTGCATTCTTTTTCGAGCTACATTTTGCTGCTTTCCTTGCTATGTAAGTGTTTCTTAGTTGCCACTTGTTCACCGATCTTGTGTCATAGTTCGTGTTACCTCAGCTAAGTTGCAGTTTTAGATTTTAAAATAATCATTATAACGTCAAGGGTGCAGAGTGTTCCTGTTTGGCTTAAAATATAAGTACGTCTGATTTCTGTTTCAAGTCTTTTGGGGTTTATTTTCCTAGGTATACTTTTTTTAATTTTATGGTTCCAGATTCCTTTTGGGATTTTCTGCGTGTTTGATGGACATGGTGGGTCTGCTGCTGCTGAAACTGCGAGCAGGTACAAATGTGATATCATCTCTCTGCGAATGCGAATCTAGCAAGATGTCTAGGCGTGCGTGGTTGTCTGCAGGAAGAGCTATATTCATATTACTTCACTGGCTTTCGCATCTACGCATTCATTTTTGGGAAAAAAGAATGGATGATCACCTTTCTGTTCGTGGTGGGTCTTTTTCAGATTAATGCCACAAAAGATGGCCGAACTTCTTGCAGTAGAGGAAACCCGAAAGGGAGTGCTCACTAACAATGAAGCCTCGAGTGTGCTTCGAACTGCCTTTCGGAATGTTGAAGAAGCACTGGATTTTCCTTATGAGGTAGTTTGTTTTCTTTTTGACGATCTCGGAGATCAACTTATTTTGTTTGCTAGTTTTAAACTTTTAAGTGACCTGCTTGACCTTGATGTCAATCTTGGTGTTTATCTATTCTGTGTCAAATTTTATTTAGAAGACTAAGATCTTGATAAAGACTGTTGTCTAATGTGTAGGGCTGTACGGCAACGGTACTCCTCATGTGGCCAGATGCCACCTCTGGGTTTGTAGCTCAGTGCGCCAATGTTGGTGACTCTCATTGCATTGTTAGGTGAGAAATATTGGTCACTGAATTACTGTAGTGGTCCTTGATATGCCCCACACATCTCTTTTGCTCTGTCCAGTGCACAACATAGCCGTACAGAAACTCTGATTGTACTAGATTACAAGTCGCTGTCGATTTTCTGACTTTGAAGTTTTTTATTTTCCACATTTATCGTCACTTGGGAGTTGCGAGGAGCATGTACTTTAGTTTTTGCTCTTCAAAATGGAAAACGAAGACTCCAAATAGAAAATTTAGGCCAGGTTTTGTGTTACATGTAAGCTTGTTGATTTTCACGCGTATGCTGTTTTTCATGAAATATCGAAAGTAGTTAATGGATTTCTTATCAACGCGAGATTTACTTGGTGTATTGCAGCAATGGTGATCAGCAGCTTCTTATGACAGAAGACCATAGGGTGACTTGTAAAGAAGAAAGGTTACGATTATTAGAGAGTGGCAAGCAGTTGAAAGAAGGCGAGAATCGTCTGGCTGGTGAGTCTAATTTTACCATGACAAATGCTAGTCTTTGGTAAAAGAGCATCTATGGGTGTCGGTCATTCATGTCTTTCTCCTATAGAATTTAGAATGCGCTGTATAGCAGGGTGGAGGTTGTCCATTCCGATCTGCATGCTTGCAACTGATTCTGTGTTGTTTGGGATCAAAAATATTGGTTAGTAATGTGGTTTTTGCATGAAAGCAAATAATTTCCTTCTTAAGACTCGAATTAATCGCAATGCAGGGATGAATATTGCCCGTGCACTTGGAGATAAGTTTTTAAAAGAAGAAGAAAGTGCTTTCTCTGCAGAGCCTTTCATCAGTAATGTTTTCAGGCTTAGTGGAGATGGCTTGGGTCTGGTAGTGATGGCGAGGTATGTCCATACTTTCTTCATCTTGTGCTCTGGCCAACTGAATGTCGCATCGGTGTTCGTTGACTATTCTCACTGCTCTTCTGTACGGCACTAATCACACAAGTTACCGTGAATCACAACCAAATCGAGATCCGCGAATTCGTAATCGTTGTAGTAACTTCTATGCACAGCCACCTAACAATTTCACAGCTGCAATTGATTCCTTTTTTTAAAATTTGTTCTTTTTTCTCAGTAAGTATATTCAAGAATTTGTCAATAATACTACTAAATGTAGTACTGTCTATGTTCCACTATTCATTTTGTACCAATTTGTACGTTGTTGGTCGCAGTGATGGACTGTGGGACGTTTTGAGTCCGCGGCGAGCCCTGCAATTGGCTGCTGAGGTGAAGTTGCTCACATTGATTTGTTATTATTCCTCTTGCTGGATTCTCGTGTTGATCTAGTGCTTTCTCCTGTAGATTAAGTGCTTAAGGTCCTGGTTTGTACTTCTCAGACTCGTGATCGAATTGCCGAGGGTGGTGTTAAGAGTTCTCACTCTAGTGCACAAGGAATTGCAAAGTTGCTTGTGGACCAAGCTCGGGAGAAGCGAACAAAGGACAACACCAGTGTCATCATACTTGACTTTGCCTCCAAGAGCAAATCCTCCTTTCATACCCTTTGATACGTGGATGCACAGAATAAGTACTTGTGTTGGAGGTGTTCACATTCAACGTAGGGGAGTTCCTAAGGACATCATTGGAAATAGAAACTTGATGACGCCTGGAACTCCCTACACCTTGTTCGCGGGTTATTTTGAATAGAATCGCTGGAAATCTGGTCAATCACCTGAGTGAAAGTTCCGGAGTCAGCAGTTCGTGTTATCACCCTCTTGTGTCGTACCCACTAGACAAAAATGGATGTGGCTCCACTCCACCTCGGGTCTGATAAGGATCTCTGTAGGTGCAGCAGAATTAGCCACCCCAGACAGCTTCGTTTAGGTTGTAGAATTTACCAGTACAGTGTACGATAGAGTTGAACAGTGCGTTGTTTTTGTGGATTGCTCCCTGGATAACATAAGCAGGGGAGTAGAATGTGGAGGACCTTTGTGGTGGTGTTTCTTTGTCAAAAATGGCATGGATGGGTCTCTCTTTCAAATTTATTTATGAGTTCAGGTTCCGCTCGGTTTCATTTACATTTTTCATTTACATATTGGTAACAATGGCTACATTCTGGTCTTTTCTGGTCGTTCCATGTATATGTCGACATATACATATACACAGAACGACCAGATGTAGACGTCATGGGTTGTGAAAGATCAAACATCAACAATGCCTAATGTTTATTGATTGCGCTTATGGTCTTTGTATTTTGCAAATTATTACTGTTTTTTTTGTTTTTACTTATTAGCCGAAGTTGTTAGATGAATATTTACTTTTTCTTGACATGTTGATGATCTCATGCATTGTTAAAGTGAAATGTTGGAATAGAGTAGTGTTTCTTTCCAAAACACTCACAAGAATTACTCCTCCAAAATCATTGCCCATATTACATGTTGAAGTTTTGATTTCCGAAACCATACGGACATGGATTTTTTGGGCATGTTGTTCTATATGGTGATATCTAGTTGTAATTTTTTTTTCCCTTAATAGTTCTCTCAAAGTTTTGAATCCGTATGTTATTATTTTTAAAATATCACTTTTATATTATAATTTACGACCTTTTTAATTTAATTAATTTCATTGCATGTAGATATTATACAAAAGATTCAGTATTTTTAATAAATTGATTGATTGTCTTATATCAATAATTTGCCAAACTGTAGAGAATTAAAAGTTGCTAACATCAATAAGAATTATTAAATTACTGACTTTTTTTTAATAAAAGAAAAACATTCTTTGTTCTGTATTACACAATGTTCCAATTTTTAGTATCAACTTAATTTGACAGTAGCCTTTTCAAATATTTAGCTACTAGAATCAGCAAGAAATATTTGAACGTAAATAAAGTTCACATTAAAGTTATTGCCTGGTGCATCACTTGTCCAATTTTGTAATTTTTCAATACAAAATTCATCATAGTACATCTGATTTAACAATGATAACTTTAAAATTGATGGGAATTTACATAAACAAAATTGAATACAACCAATAACAGTAATAAATATATAACAAAATTTATAAAACAAATTTGCTAACTGTTATTGTTTTTGCTTAATAAATATTGATATTGTGCAACAAAGAATCTTTGAACAAGTATTACAAATGACAATGTTTATTTTTGTCATTGACATGTATATCAAATAATAATAATAATAATAATAATAACTTACTAAATAGTTATAAAAATTCATCAATATCTCAAGCTATAACTTAAAGAAGTCTAATACTTTATTTGCAATTAGCATTGTCAACAACTGTGCTTTCAACAATCTCAATAGTATTGTACTATTGTAAATAAATAAAGTAAAATAAATCATTTCTAAAAAAAAAGGAAAATACTTCTGCATCAAATAGAACTTAATAAAGCACATAGAATAATTCTAACACATTGTAATACCATATATAATAACATATGTATATTGTACATGTAAGTTATATATATATATATATATATATATATAGTTAGTTAGTTAGTGCTACATCTCCAATTAATACTTCTACAATCTATGTAATCCCTACACCACTTAAATTGACTTAAAAGCACACTTCTACACTTAGAGCCCAATATTTAACCCCAATATTGACCCATAATAGAACAAATTAAAAAAAAAAAAACAAAAAAAGAAGAAGAGGTTTATTTTTGTTTTTTTCAGCCAATTAAACATAGTTTTGAATTAAACTATCTTTGAAAAAAATAGCAAGCAACCTATCTTCATGAACTATTCATTGTCTCGCTCTCTCAACCACCACTCTTTTCAAAGCAAAAATAGAATAAAATGCATGAAAGAAAGAGGCATATTATGAACTAATTGTCTACAAGAATAGCATGTGGAGTGTAGCTATATCAATTGGAGATGTAACATTAACAATTGTGTATATATGTATATGTGTATATGTAAAAATATAAATATAAAGAGAATATTAATATTCACACATTCATACATACATACATACATAAAATCGTTGGTCCAATAATTGCCAAGTAGGACAAAACCCAACACGACCCAGCCTCGGCCACGTGGAGGAATGCCACCTCAGGAATCACCAACCGTCTACCCGAAAGGCCCAGGCCACACGACAATCAAGACGAACGAACGCACAAACAAGTGGATGAATAATGGAAACAACAGATATACAGAACAGTGGCCGAGAAAAGGTGGCCAGGATGCGAAGAGAGGGTCGCCGTGGAGTGGGGTCGAGTCGAGAGAGCGAGAGAGATCGATAGAGTGCCGAGGATTGCGATGATCGAGTGTCCCCCGTTGGACAATCCAGCTTGGAATCCACTCACCCTTCAACGGCGCATTGCCATTTCCAGTTGCTACCCGCGTTCTCGCCCTTTACTTTCAAAATCCTCATGTTGTCCGCTTCTCCCCCCCCTCTTCTGGATTTCGTCTCTTTCCTCTCATTTCCCGACCCGCCCTGCATCGACCCAATTCCACGGCACTCCTTGTGATATACATTGCGGCGTCACTTTTGTACCCGCCTTGGCCCCCTGCCTCCTCCCGCCGGCTTACTTGTGATCGAGCTCGGCCATCCACTTTGGAATCTGTGCCTGTGCTGTCGCTACCGCAGCTTGGGTACATCAGCCGTTGCGAGAATTCATGAGGTTTGCGCTATCTGAAGTGAGAGTGTGCTGTTTGGTCAATGTTGGGTAGGGCGAGCTTGCATCTGGGTGCTTTTCTCCACTGAGAATTGCAGCTGGCACTAGGATTCTTGACCCGGACCTTGGATTGATTTGGGTTTCTCTGACTGTGCGCGGATTGTTGTGAGGGTGTTTGAGAGCAGCAGAGGAGATTCGTTGAAGAGCTTCGTGGCGATTGTGAGGCATGAATGCTGTGATTGTTTGCGGATAGGGTGTCTGGAATAAAATTTGCTTCAGCGATATGGCTAGGGAACCGGGTGTATGGCGTGTGGTTGTGGTTACGCTACTTTTCTTGGTCGTTTCTCAAACTGTGAACGGCCTGGGTGTGAACTGGGGGACTATTTCTGTAAATCCACTGCCTCCTGGGTATGTAGTGAAGATGCTGCAAGCGAATGGCATCAAGAAGGTGAAGCTCTTTGATGCCGCCTACGACGTCATAAGAGCATTGGCGGGCACTGACATTGAAGTCATGGTGGCCGCCCCGAATAACTTGCTTGCCACGCTTGCGGGTGACCCAAAAGCAGCAGAGGATTGGGTGAAGGCGAACGTGACCTCCTACAATTTCAAGGGAGGTGCCAATATTAGGTACGACCCGTCACGGCACTTTGAGCCCCTGCTCTGAATCTCTGTGTCGTTCCCAATTCATTCACCGTTGTGTGGATCATATGTGATGATGATATTAGGACTTTCTGCAATGTTGAATGTCAGCCGTTGACATTGATTATTTGACGTCCGGTCACAGTCTGGGAGTGATACAGCTATACAGTTGGGATTTGTAGTTGTTCAGCCGGGTATACTTTTATTTCTGCTAGAGTGTAAGAGGATGTTATAGTAGAAATGCCAGATCTGAATCTTTGAAGCTTGTGAGCAGGTTGAAACCCTCGATATGTGGTGGTTTTATCATTCGTTGGTTGTCATCGTCGTCTATTCATTGATGTGATAGCTGTTTGAAGTCGGTCCTCGCTTGAACCGTCGCTGATTAGAGTGTGAGGAAGTGAGCTTTCTGGCTGGATCTTCTTTTGACTTTCATGTTGTCCTTGTGCAGATGGGTTGCTGTGGGCAATGAGCCGTTCCTTACTGCCTATGAAGGAATGTATCTTAACACAACCTTGCCAGCTCTCAGAAACATTGTTAACGCACTTGCGAAAGCAGGTCAAGCGAATACGGTGAGGACCATTATTCCGTTTAACTTCGATATCCTCAATGGTGCTGTGAAGCCCTCAGAAACACGGTTCAAGGTCGAATACCTCGACCAAATTCGACCCATGCTGCAGATATTTAACAGTACTGGTGCCCCGTTCAGTGTCAATTTGTACCCATTTATCAGCAAGTATCAATCCCCCGACTTCCCTCTTGATTACGCATTTTTTGAGGGATCTACGTCCGCCGTGACCGACGGGACATTTATCTATAAGAATGCCCTCGATGCGAGCCTTGATGCCCTTATCTCAGCTCTGACAGCCGAGGGATACCCTGCGATGGAAATCTTGCTCGGTGAAATAGGGTGGCCTACAGATGGAAATGAGTTTGCTAACCCAACACTGGCAGGGAAATATAATCAGCAGTTGATTAACCACCTGCAGAGCAAAGTTGGAACTCCCCTGCGACCGAACACCTTCACTGAATTTTACATGTTCGGCCTTCTGGATGAGAATATTAAGAGCATTCTTCCTGGTCCATTTGAGCGGCATTGGGGCATGTTCTATTACGACGGGGTTGCCAAATACCCACTCGACCTCGCAGGTATGTTTCTGTGCCTACCCTTTTGCCGAGGGTCTACATATTTCATGTCCGGTAGTAGTGAGAACACGCCCCCCCGAATTTCTGATCGGTTTGGTCAAATAATTGTTTAATTGTCCACTGTGCATTGGATTTGTCCCATCCAATACTATCATGCATGGTTGTAAGACAGGGCACATCACAGTTGGCGGGATTTAAAGCTAATTCTTTTTTCGAATTTTGCAGCTGGCACTGGCGCTCCCCCACAGACGATTAAAAATGCGGAGTTCCCCCCCTACATGAGTGCCCAGTATTGTGTACTGAACGAGAACGCTGATAGGACAAATCTCAGTCAGAACGTAGCTTTTGCCTGTTCCCGAACAGACTGTACACCACTATATCCTGGGTCGTCGTGTGGTGGCTTGTCTGCGGTCCAGAATGCCTCGTATTCTTTCAACTCATACTTCCAGTTCCAAAACCAAGACCCGAACGCATGTAACTTTCAAGGCCTGGGTAGGATCACAACCGAGAACCCATCTGTAGGTAACTGTCGTTTTATCATTGGGCTAACGAAATACACGCCGCAAACCAGACCAACTAGTGGTACCGCTGCTCAGAGTGGAATCTTAGTTTTGACCATCTTTTCACTCTTGGTTAGTTCTTTTAGGTTTTGGTTAGACTCTGCACTTTAGTAGCGTTAATGTAATATTCTAGACGTAGAACACGACTTAGCCCAGATATCTACCTCTTCGTGGAGGGTAGAGTGTGTTCCTATGGTGTAACGTGGGAAGTGGTGAAGCTGAAGATGCTCATTTGCCTTCGCAGCCGTTGCCAAGTCTTTATAGACGCAGCTGCAGTTGGCACCCAGCTTAGGTGCGAGGTGTCATGTTGACACTTCCAAGCCTGGACACACGCAGGAGGCTATCTCTCGAAGAAGGTACATGCCTTGATGAGATTTGTGTGGTGTTGGGACCACTGACTTGTCATCTTCAACAAACAGGAGATGATTTGTTGGAACTCGTTGTACAAGAACGGAAAGTTATGAGAAAATGAGATAATTTTTGTGCTATCGTCCTAATGTTGTGTAGAAATTGTCATTTGCATCATATTCCATCTCTGATCCCATATGGAGGCATTAGGGGCAATGAACACTTGTTGAGATCTCCTTACGAACGCCCCTTTCTGTTTCCTCACTGCTATTCTGTGTTCCAAACTTAAACACATGATACGTTCATTCACCCGATGAATTATGAATTCAACTGTGCACTAACCTCGTACCACAGTGTAGACTACCGCACGGTTGTCGGCAGATAGAAATTGGGTTCATCGTCTGGTTCATTGACCACTTCTGTGAAAGGTTTCCCTCTGGAATATATTGTAAAATGTAAACAATAAGGATAATCAGAGTATAGTCATTGTAACCACTGCGATCACGAGTACAAAATGGATGGAAGATGATTGTCATAGCACCTTCATTATCAACCATTTTCACTCCCGACGTGGACTATCGAAGAACAAGTCGACGTACATCATCAACCTCCCATTCATTACTTCCTCCGCTGTCAAGCCTCTCCCCTGCTTCACAACTTTCTGAATACTGTTGTCGAGCTGTCTCACCTCACAAGAGTGTGTATTAGATAAAGTATTCTCGCATTCGGAATTCATTACATATTCTAGTTGGTTGCTGAAAACTCGCACCAAGATTTCTATATGTTACGCATAAATTTGATAGCCCACATTTTAAGTACGTTGAAGAGAAGTACACGCATCGCAGCATTCACCTAGGAAATATGTAGATTCTTTCAACTATGACGCACCGGGTATACTATCAAGTTGAACGCATAAATTGAATGGAGCAGAGGATAGAGCATGGCGTGAGCAAGGTCCGCCATTACCTCATCTGGAGGCACATGAGCAGTTGTGGGATGAAGTGGCTTGGACAACCCTGGCGACATATTCACTGCCGATGGTAGATCCTGATGCACACAAGTCTGAGGCGTTCAAGCTACAGAATCGTCCTCACGGCATTGTTGACATAACTCGGGAATCCATCACACCGAATGGATACAAGTATTGCAGAAGAGTGATGAGCTAGCAATGCTTTTGTCGTGAAAAAATTCCTATCCTTGGATGCAAAGCTTTCATGTCGACACGCTTGTGTATCCTGATCTAGCAATTGAGAGGAGCTTTCATGGCCTATCTCGACAACGCAGCAAATATATATTAAGGGCCTGGGCTGCACTCTGGATAGTCGTGGACGGGGATGAAACAATCTCTTTACTGAATTGGGCAGCTTGCAACGACTTAGTTATCACGTAGTCAACTTCCACTCAAAAACTGTTTTTAACAACAAAGTTTTGAACGGAATGACGATAGGCACCTGGTGGGATTTTGGTTCAGCGAATGCTTCCAAGCATCTGAGGCACAATCAGCTGTGGACGAAAATGAGAAAAACGAAACTTCAACAGGCAAAACGCATGTGTGCTTTACGTGGTCAACTTGGAGACGTGCTGCAGAAACTCAGGTGGCAGCTTTCTTTGCAGTGCCAAGGACACTTTTTCTAGTTTCAAAACTGTTAAATAATTACAACTTGATGGTTTGTTCTCATTGGGACCTGCAAACTGAGTTTGTGGTCTTTCTTCTTCGAACAATAGTTTTCTGTGATTACGGTTACTGTAGCCAGTCTTGTGCCGAATCTCATCATAGCTTGTTCATCGAAATGAACTCGCACATTTCTTTCATGTTTCCGCTATTTAAAAATAAATAAATCAAATTTTCTTCCGCTCTTTACAACGAAGCGATATGGGAGAGATGGGGGTATGTACTTTTTCTTCTTTTCTTTTCCATCTTCTGAATGAAAGCAAAAGCGCAGAAATCCGATAGTGAACGAGGCGCCACTCGCCTATTGAACCTAGAGGAGGAATCTTCGAACTTGAATTTCTTGAAATCCAATCTCACATGTTGGAATCGAATTGGTAGATTTCCCACTCTACACATGAAATATCCTGCAGCCGCACACACTCACATTCAATTGATTGGGGTTCTCATCACCGGCACTTAACACATGAACAAGCTTGCTACGAAAAAGTGTGAAACTTTTGCTCTTCTCAACCTCGAAGTGAAGAGCTGTAGATTTACGGATCAATTCTTCGGTGGAACGAAGGGAGATTGCAAGCCAATCGCACCGACTTCACAAGAAGCACGCCGCAAAAGCATTCTAATATGTGTCGAGAATCCACGAGAATTTTCAAGACGAGCATGGGGAGGTGTGGCAAGGCTGCAGGGCGAAGACGTGGGCCTTCACAACGAAGCCATCCGTAGCAGGCTTTCACTTTCCATCACCGCTGATAGTCATCAGCGCCACCCTTTTGAAGCGTGCCCCTAAAAATTCTCACATTCCCTCAGCCGCTGTCGAAACTGCCACCAATTTTAGCACGCGCATCAATTTTCACAGAAAGGAAATTGATATTTTATGTGTGTGTGATACGACCTGGGATCCCTTTCCCAGACCCACCTGATCTGTGGCCAACTTCCACTGAGGGCAGATTCTGTCCCCGAAGCAAACCCTACCAAGTCAAATGATCCCGTTGCTTGTCTTGCCACTTTTACTGCCCCATCGATCCTGAGGACCAGGGCTTGGTGGCTAAACCAAGCACGAAACAACTGTATGGTTTGAGGCAGTCGTCCGAAACTAGGTGTCAGGTCAACCGCGTATTGACGTAGGCGACTCCCATTCGCTGCGCTTCTGGCTTCAGTTGATCGTAGAAACTGCCACATCTAGCAACGGAGCTATCTTTAGCTTGTTTCCTATTTTTAGCAAAGTCAGGTTCACTGTCTGCAGGTGGGGTATTGGTATTTCGTGTAGTTTTATACGTATTCGCAGAGGAATTCATGAGCATCGTTGCCTTCACATTTTGTAGTAGCATCACTGTGCTGGATGCCGAACAATTGAGCAAAACAAGCCACTGGATATTCGAGTCGAATGTAGTACAATTTTACGGTAGGATGGTATAGAATACGGCGCGGCGTCGCGATATGTGGGTCCCGCGCGAGCAGAGAAGCGGCTCTCGTGTCCAACTTGGAATGTTTGTTTAGAGTTGCTGGTGTCTATTAGGGGATTTAACCATTCAGGCTCTCTCTTTTTTTCCTTCTTCTTCTGGGTCTCTTGAGGATAAATTTGTTCTTATGATGTGGTGAATTCACTAACGAATGAGTCAACCTGCTTCTCAGTTTATGGGATTCGGTTAAGATTCGAAGAAGTTGTGTGAATGCTTAAGGTGGTGAAGGGGCGTCCACAGACGGCTGAGTCTTCAATCAGTCATAGTTGCCGAGAGTTTGCTCGTTTCTCTCTGGGGAATCGAGCCGCTTCCCGTTTCTCGAATCCTCGTTTTATTTTATTTTATTTTATTTAGTTTTTGATTAGCGTCGTGGGGTCCAATCGCCGTTGTGGATATAAAACGTATCTGCGGAACGTTGTTCGAGGTTTTCTCAAAGATCGTGTAGTTTGTGTTTATGAATTTGTTCAGTCAGTGTGTTTGTTTGTTTTTTTGTAGTGTTTCTTCGAAGTCCTGAGTTTGGGACGAATTTGGGTTGAATTGTGTCTGGAAGAATTGAGAAATTTCTGGGTATCGAGTGATGCTTTGAGTTGGTTTGTGAGAAGCGTATAAATTCCCAACGCAGCGAGTGCAAAAAAACTATTCCACGCGACTTTGCTGTTTGTTGTACTTGAATTCAAGTTCCTATCATCTCCTCCCATCGCGTTGCTGGAGGAAAGCAGAGAATCAAAGAGCTGAACCTGTTGCAAAGATATTTTTCGCACTTTCGTACTTCGTGTTCGTAGAGACTTGATCATTTTCCAGAATTCAGAGGATACTAGAATTTAGTGCGCAGTAGTGTGCTGTCAACGTGGAAAAAAGGAAGGAGTGCTGGAGCCCTGCTTGACGCTCGCCAGTTTTGAAACATTTGTGATTGGAATCTCTTACTTCCTACCTTTCGCAATTGTGTGACTCTACGCACCAATCTGAATCGGTAGTAAGGCTTCAGAAGCAGTCGATGCATTCTTAAAGTTTGGTGCAATTTAGACCAGAAATTTGGTCTAAAATATTGGCATTAAAGACGCCGCGCTGTAGCACCAGGGTACAGCAGGTGGAGGTCAAAAACTTCGAAGAGTGGTGATCAAGTTCACGAGACAACCATTATTTTTCTTTTTCGCAGTAGAGTATTCTGCCCTTGCTCATTCGTAGAAATTTTGATTTGTCCAACAACGCGGGATTGGTTTTACACACCAACTCGCGGCATCTGGAAATGCAAAGTTTACTCAAGCGTGAATTGTGAGCTTTTGTAGAATCCAAAACTATTTGGTAAAATCTTTCGATGTCTGTCTGAGCGTACATGTGAGTATATCGTTAGGGAATTGGTTGGAATCCGTGTTTATACAAACAGAAATTATAGAAGAGTTTGAGGGAGAAGATGAAAACGGAAGATAGTTCCCGTTATTTGAGTCCATTGGTGAAGCAGGACTTGGCCAAGCTTGACACAGATGGAGACACTCGCCGTCTTGCGGTGAAATCCTTGAAGCTATTCGTGGAGCAGCTGGACGCGTCCACCTTGCCCCGTTTCATTTCTCAGGTCTAAATTTGTTTATTTTATTTCTTTCAATTTTCACTTAATTATTCCCGGTTTGATTTTCTATTTCACCACACCGTGGCGGAGCTTTGAATTTGATAGTTAAACGGAGTCATGTTGTACCCTTGAGAGTTTTCATTACAAGGATTTCGTAATGTTATGGTTTATTTATTTATTTTTCTGGCAAGTATTGAGACACCTTGCTTTTCTTTCCTTCTTTGTTCAGATTGCAGAGTCTCGAGAACCTGGAGCTACGCGATCCTATGCCATTTCTTTGTTTGAGGAAGTAGCACGGGTGCACGGCAAGCTTGTTGTCCCACATATTCCGAGGATAATGGGCTCTATAGTGCGGTCTTCGTCTGCAAGCGGAAGCTTTCCTCAATTGCAAGTGGCCAGTGCTAGAGTCACAGCAGCTCTTGCCCGGCATTGTATAGATTCCAGCACATCTCAGGCAGATTCAGAGGAAATTGTGCGAGAAATATGTTCTTCACTCATTGACTGTCTTTCCGGGAAGTTGGAGCCCGTGGCGGCTACTGCTGCTGCTTGCATTCACGCACTTGCTGAAACTGATAAGTGGAAGTACGCCAGTGAGGAGATTGTTCAGGAAGTGTGTCAGCGCACCATTGTAGCTTTGGGCGAAAGGTCCTCTCGGTCAGGAGCTCACATGCAACTTGTCCGCATATTGGCGTCGGTAAACCCCGACACCATTAGCATCCACGGTGCAAATCTATTGAGGGCCGGTGAGGAGATTTTGAAGGTGACTGCCAATCCCTGGCAGATTCGTAAGGCTGCAGCCCAGATGCTCCAGTCCGTGCTCACCATCCTTGATAAGGAGACATTGGAAATAGAGCTGAATGCGGCTTTGAATGTACGTGAAGAATCCGAAACTTGTCGTGCTCTGTGAACGTTCTTCCTGTTTCAACTTTCCAAAATGAAACGCATAGATACTGTACTGTTGTTTTGTTTCAAATGTAACATAACTTCCCAATTGGGCATGTTCTCTGGATGTGTAATTGCATATGAGATGTAAATGCTTGCGAGCAAAGCCATTGTGTGCGCAAACAGACAGTTTTTGAGCCATTTCTGATATACGTTTTCTTGTTGGTTTTTTTACTCAGGCATTGGATAGCTGCCGCCTCGATAAGATGCCACACGTAAGAGTGGCCGTAAGTGAGGCGTTACACATAGCTAAGATGTTGGCTCCTGGAAACAATACAACCCACACACCATTTGGCATGGCAGCGAGTCCCGTTCGGAGGTCCGCAGACCACAGTGATTGGAGTTTTTCGTTTCATGAAAATGTCCCCATCTCCCCAGTCTCAAAGCGGGGTACTAGTCCGAGGGCCCCCATGAGTCCTGACAGGGTTGTTCCACAGTCTCCGACCCCTAAGCGGGGGGCTAGTTCCAGAGTCCCTATAATTCCGAACAAGGGGATTATGAGTAGCCCTAGAACCGCCAGTTCTGGTTCCGTAGCTGGAAGTCCAACATCTCAAGAATCACGCCATCTATCTTATTCACCTGTGTTAACCTCTTCAGATTTTGCTCAAGTTCCTTCACCTACTCGAAGCCAAGGCAGGTCAAAGGTTCAGCGAACACCGCTTTATCCTACCCGAGGCATGGCTCACGCTCACCCACCCCGATCTGTAGCTTCATCTCCTTCGAGTTCTGTTACTACTGTGGAAGAGTGCGAATCCCCGTCACGTAGATGTGAGAATTGCGTCCCCCCACTCTTGCGTTGTGACCTTTATCCGACCTCTTTTTCAGCTTGCTTTCTTGTTTATCTAAGTGTTATGTGTGCACCATTTATTGAATGGAGTGCTCGAGTTTCTTGGTTTGCCATGGCCTTATATTTGGGGATTGTATGTTGGTATTTTTGCAGCGTCATGCTTGGTGAACATTGGGTTGTCGTAGTGTGTTTGTTTAATTTCTGACGTGATTCTTTCTGTATGTACAGTGAATCTTGAATTCTATGTTCGACCCCGTAGCAGGAGGGCAGATGGCGTTGATCCGGAGGAGATTGACATTGGTTACGCTGATGATTATTGCCGACCTCGGGCTCCTGTGACTTCTGGCCCACATTATCCTCTTCTGCCCACTCAGCTCGACTTAGTCGGGTCTCAGGTGCAAAAGCTGAAAGAAGAACAAGAATGGAAGGATGTTGGTACTAATACGCCTCGGGCTACCGAACATCTGCGTGAGGCATCGAATGAATGCACGGCAACCGCATCTTCTGAAGTAGATTCCGAGTTGTCAGCTTCGATGAGCTCTAGTCCAAAGAGTGAAGGGGGATTTATTTTGCCTATGTTGAAGATGGTGGGGGGTACCAACAGCTTGGATCAGCAATCAAAACTTAGGGATGCCGTAGAGAGCAGAACGTCAATGCAGAGGGATTCAAGAAATAACTTGCATATAACATTGCCAACCGATGACGATGCGAGAGGTGAGGACGAGAATGTTGTTAACACTCCCAGTGCGGATATTGAAGTGGAGAAACGTGAGCTTTTTATTTCGAAAACGCCAAAGCGTGCTCAGAACTCTACACTAGCAGGGTCGGAGGTCGACACTGGAAATCAGAATGGAGAAATAGACTACGCCACACACGAAAAACCGAACTCGCTAAAATATCGTTTCAGTGGTTTAGCCCATCTAAATGTCAACTCGGAAAATAAGGTAAGATAACGGAGTCATTGGCTCCAAAGATTTGGTGACAATTCAGCCCTTGTGCAAGTTTCGCATATTTCCCCGATTATTGCTTGTAAAGCACATACAATTTGAAGATGGCCTTTTGCTTGATTCGTCTTGACGTTTTGTTGTTTTCATTTGCAGACGACGGAATCAGTCAACATGGCTAAGAATTTCCTGCCGTTAGTTACACCGAAGCGACTCGTGCGCTCTCTGTCCAGCCTCTCCGCCCCTGATTTGAGAGGAAGCTTACACGAGTATGACATGAAGTTCTCGCAGAGCGATGCAATATCATCTGTCAGAATGCTGTCGAACAACGCGAACGCATCCGAACTGGACGGCGAGGCGTCAAGCGAGACAGGCTGGAGCGTCCGTGACAACCCAATTGCATCTGAAGACTCGTACCGAGTCGAAAGCTCCGACGAGGAGACAACCGGGCTACGCAGAGAACCGTGTGGCTCCTTCCCCAGGCTTCGGGAGCTTGCCTGGGCCGCCGACAGATGCAGCCCTCGTGAAATCCATATGGTCTTCCCAGCGTCAGAAACACCCAACGCCGTCGAAGACGGCGCGTCATTAGATCACATGAACCGCCTCAACAGTTCCGATCAGACATGCACCCCAATGACCGACGACGATGCAGAAACAGAAAGTACTCCATCCGCAGCTTCTGGAAGGCAAAGCTTCTCATCATGCAAGCTGCGCGTCTCAGCTCAAGCAACCGAGGACATGGGCAGTGACACAAACTTGTCATCAGACCTGGATCACGAAGACCAGAAAAAACCTCAGCCATATGAAGGCAAGCTTGGAGGACACTACAACAACGGGGCTGCAGCAGCAGCCATGGAGGAGGATGAGGATGAGGAATTTATGTGCAGAAATAATCCTGCAATGGAAACAGCGGCAGAGCAAAGGCGGAGTTATGAGAAAGACGGGAGCTGCTGCGTGATAAAGGCTGTGACCCACAATTGGAAGCGGCTGTGCTCGCATGCGGAGTCGGTGCTCGGAGGCTCCCTGTGCTTCGCAGTAGCTTTACCGCTGGCTATTATGGCATGCCGCACCTTGAATGGGACACGCGATCTTCATCACCTGGTGCCCACCTAGTTTCAGTCTCTCATTTTAGGGTTTAGTTCACTGATGTTAGGGCTAAAGGTTTCACCTTTGGAGATTGGGTTACTCGCGGCACTTTTGAGAGTGTTGTGGGTTGGTTTGCATGTTTCTGTATGTGCAAGGTTTTGCAGTTCATTGGATGACATTGTAGTTTTGATGTGCAGTTTTGCTTTGAGTACACTCACAATTTAAGAAGCTTGTAAAAAAAGAAATACCTTTGAGGTAAACATGTTGATCAAGTTCTTTAGGAAATCTATTTATTCATCATTAAGGTTTCTTACTTCATGGTTTTGTTTGTTTGGATGTATTTGATTTTCCTTATTTGTAGAATGTAGTAAATTTACTTTATTTTGTTAACTTACACATGGCAATGTCAAATCTTTCATAAGCTAGGACAAGTATAAACATCAATTCTATTGTTAATCAAAATCTTAGAAAACCTGCATTGTACTTATATTATAACTTCTAGTAAGAAACTTTCAACTATTTCTTCAAATCTAAACAATTTCTCATGCCATAAATCTTTATAATATTCTCATTATCAAGATCTCTTACAAAACAAAGTCAAAAGAATTTAAGTATGTTACTAGAATGACAATTGATTGCTATGTGTTAATTTTAATTATCAAAGTAGACATGATTAATGAACAAAAATATCTTTTTAGATAAAAGTTTGAAATTTTATTATATCCATCACTTTCAATTGCTCAAATTACTTTTCATTTTATTCAACATGAATATTGTTAATGGTTCATATTTTGACTTGTTAATTTTTTGTAAAACATGAATATAAATATCACAAAATTTATTTTTCACAAGAAAATTAGATGTTTTTGAAAATCTTAATAAAAAACTAAAAGAAATTACATACTTATTCCAATGATAAAACTTAAATAATGGATTATAACACAATTATTTTGTAATAGTTAACCAACCATTTGAATTTAATACAATATACAGATATATATATATATATATATATATACACACACACATATATATATATATATATATATATACACACACACACACATATATATATATATATATATATATACACACACACACATATATATATATTCAAGAAGATTATTATAGACTCACAAATCAAATTGACAATCAACTAGAATATTACTATCCCCTATAAGACGTGATAATCTACAACTCCTTGAAGTCCTAGATAAAGACAAAAAGATACATTGTTCTATGTTTTGAATAAATACAATAGATTTTTTTTGTCATACATGTCGAAGAAACAAAATATCTCTCTCACACACACACACATATTCAACAAAGCTTGGACTTGATTCACTTTCTAATATAATATTAGGATGTATGTTAGGACCACACACATGGCCAAGTTGACCTCCTTAAGCAACTTGTCTGCAATAGTCGCAAAGGGGGACGCCCATAAGGAAGTTGAGGAGTCCCCCTTAACTTTAACAACGTGCCATGAAAGTCAGAACAGTACGATTATTAAAATTACGGAATCCGTCCTTGCCCCCTGGATTCGCCTCCTCTTGCTAGCGGATATCCTTGTCCCTTGGAGGATGTCTCTGGTTGAAAGCTATCAATTTTGGATGCTGCTTAAACACGTGCATCCAACACGTCGGATGTTGTTATCTAGCCCCGAACTCAAACATGGCATCTAGCTACAGCCGCTTTGGATGAATGAAACATGTTATATTGATGGATGGGTATGTGTAAATTCGTTAGATGAATGCCTCCTCCCCGCCGAGCTTGGAGCATGGTTTGTCTCCCCGATGCGGGTCTTATTCACACGAGAGTGGTGGATGACGTGGAGGATCGCGTCACCCTTATTCACACTATATATAATAAAACAACGCTGCTCTGGGGTTTATTTATTTATTTATTTATTTATTGTTTATATGATTTTCCCACAAGGCTTGCAACATTCCATGAGTTATTTAACTAGTATTTTAAAATATTATGATAATTTACATTTTAATGCATGTTAAATGGGTTCAGCGTTAGCAAAATAAGAAAACAAAAAGAATAAAAAAATAAAAAAGTGCATGACAATATACAGTCATGCATGGTGAGTGTACTCCCTATGCATTTTTTAAATAGTATTCTTTAGTTATTTGACTCAGTTGAATTGGTTCATTCTTAAGAGCTGAGATATAGTTATTTTACTATTTAATAAGCTTATGAGGATATAAGCAAGATGTAATGATAATAGTAATTACTACAATTATTATTATTATTTGAAGTAAAATATTTTAAGACTTCTTTTATAGAGCTTCTGCAACAAATAATATTCTGTGAAATCTGAATAAGTTCCTTAACTGGTACACATTTTCATAGTCAATGCCAGTGTATACATATATATATATATATACAAATATGTAGTAATTAGAAAAAAATATTTATATAAAAATATAACACAACTTGGAACACGTTATTTCAATTTTATCATTATTTTTACTATATTGAGTGGTGTAGGTATATTCTTAAAATAAAGAGTCATTAATTGTAGCAAGTATTTTAATGAGTATCATTTAATCTTTTTAAATCCTAAATATTTATTCTAAAGTTGCAACTTTAAAATAATAATAATAATAATAAATCCACTTTTGAGCAACTCCTTGATGTTTAGACAATAATGTGTACTTTTTCATTTTAAGAAAAATCATTATACAAACAATTTAACATTGTTGAAAGGAAGGTTTTCAGAGGACACGAAAATACATGTTGATGCTCAAAATTTAACCAAAACCTAACTTTCAAATACATTAAACAAGAAGAATGAATTCAAATTTATACTTTTTACTTATTTATATATTTATTTTTATCTATTATATGATTATTTCTTATCTGTATCAAAAAATAATTATGGTTTTGATTGATCTTTCAAAAACCCAACTTTTTAATAATAAGAGTAACAAATATTTTTAATCTTAAATCATTAGGATTTTTGACAACTTGTCACAACTTGTCAAAGACAAAAATATGATAAAAACAAATAAACAAGTGAGACTTCTCTCAAAGAAAGATGAAAAAATAGAAATAACTTGATATGTATATTAAGAAAGAAACTAGAATGGCTATTGCCAAAAGCCAAGAAAACTAGAGACCCTTGAAACTAGACTGGAAGCAAGAAAAGAATTAACAAGAATGAAGAAGGCTTCACTCTTGTCTCTATATATACTATTTAACTAAGGGCTACGTGGCGATGTTCTATAGGACCTCCAATATGTATTAACTTTGTAGGACACATGCTTTGACTTACAAGGCAAGTTTTTCTACGTATGGACCACATAGTTAGCTTGGTCTTCAAGCTAACAACTGTCACGGCCATAATCATGTAAGCTAATAATTACATATAGAAATAGGTAGAAGTAAGTAAAAGTAGATAAAAGTAAGCTAATTCTATAATATTTAATATAGAAGCTTCCTAAAAACTTCCTAGACGCTGCCTTGACTTCATAGGTGTCTTTAATTGACTTTTTGGATTAGAAACGTGGTCAACAAGTTGGCCATGTGCCACACATGTTGTTAGCTTGAAGATCAAGCTAACTATGTGGCCCACACGTAGAAAAACTTGCCTTGTAAGTCAAGGCATGTGTCCTACAAAGTCAACACATATTGGAGGTCCTATAGAACGTCGCCACGTAGCCCCTAGTTAGATAGTATATATAGAGACAAGAGTGAAGGCTTCTTCACTCTTGTCAACTCCTTTCTTGCTTCTAGTCCAGGTTCAAGAGTCTTTAGTTTCTTGTCTTGTGGCAATAGCCATTCCAGTTTCCTTTTAATATACCTACTTGTTTATATTTTGACTTATTATATCGAGATAGCCTTTTTGTGTATATTTTCCCTCATCGAGTCTTTGTCCTTGACAGATTGACAAGAGTACACTTACAATATCAAAGCTTTGTTTTTCTTGAGTGAGAGTGGATTACCCCTTTCTCTTGACAAGACATAAGCGTATTAGAAGTTTGCGGATTACCCACTTCTAAACTGATATTGTTCTTAGTATCTTCTTTGTTATCAAGTCTTTCTTTTCTTTTGTCTTGAGCAGTATCAAACAAATTTTTCTTCTTAGGGTCATTATGGAAGAGCTTGTTGAAATGAAGAGTGCAATGGCACAAATGCAAGAGCAAATGAGGGAGTTAATGCTTGCGATGCATCAACTCAATTCACCAACACATGAAAGAACAAGAATAGCAGAAAGTGGAGATATAGAGATGATCGGAGCTGCTTCAACATCTACAACAAATCACGTTCCTTCTCCAATTGTACAACACCCTATAAGCACTAGAGAACCAAGAATTGCCTTACCCGAGAAATTTGATGGTACGAGATCTAAGTTTCGAGGGTTCATCAATCAAGTACAATTGGCAATTGAACTTCAACCGCAAAGCTATCCAACTCCGGGATCACAAGTCAGGTTTATTGGCACTCTACTTTCTGGTTCTGCATTGTCATGGTTTTCGTCTTTTCTTGAACAACGAAATCCAATATTGGACAATTTGGAAGCTTTTTTGGTGGAGTTTCGATCTATGTATGGTGAACACGATGCAACTCGTGTTGCAACAAATAAGATCCGAATTCTGCGACAAGGAAATCGCTCAGTAACAGTGTATGCTTCACAATTTCGACAACTTGCAATTGACATCAAGTGGGATGATGCTGCATTCATTAGTCAATTTCTTTATGGATTGCAATACGAAGTAAAGAAATTGATGCTCAACTTACCTGATCCTCAAACTTTGAGTCAAGCAATCGATTTTGCGGTAAAATGTGATAATCGACTTTTTGAATTTCGATCTGAGAATCATTCACGGGAACCTCAACGTTATTACTCAATGGCAACATCAACATCTTTGCCAAACGTATATTTGGAAGTAGAAGACATGCAAATTGACGCGGTATGTTTTAAACCTCTAACTGAGCAAGAAAAGATTCGTCGTCGTCAAGAAGGATTATGTTTATATTGTGGAGAACCTAAGCACACTGCTCAACATTGTCCAAAGAAACGATGCAACTATAAAATGAGGGGTACGACGGTCAAAGAAGACAACATGTCGGAAAATGGATTCGTTCAGCTACAATAGGGACCGTGCAGCTGGAACCTTGTACAATTCCTAATGAAGGTCCTATCCTCTCCTCAGAACCCTCTCCTTGTTTTATAATAGACTTATATTTAGGACCTAAGAATTACAAAGCCTCTGCTTTATTAGATTCGGGAGCCTCAGCATGTTTTTTAGATGAACAATTTGTTAAAAGTCGTAAAATACCCTTTGTACAGAAACCTAA